GGGGCAGGAGCAAGAACCAGAAAAGTGAGTGGCCCCAGTCCAGACGAGAAATGAGACCGCGGGCGATAAAGGCACGGAGACTGGAAAGAATGAGGCAAAGGAGAGAAACAAAACGAAAACAAAAAACTAGAAGAGACAGGCTAAAGGTTAGGCCTGTGAGGTAGAACTGTGCTCGTGCATGTTCTTTGATCTTATTGCATAACAGCACATATTAAACACCATATGCTACTCAGAGTGACACTGCTATACAATTCCTAGATGTTAGAAATAACCTACAAGCGGGTAATCGGTTAAGATGACCAAGAAAGAAGAATTTATGTGCCTCTTTGGCTGTCTTCTGTCCGACAGCTGTCAGAGATGGGCTCCGTAGTCCACATTGGTCTACATCTAGAAACTAGCGTAGCAATTTAAGACTTAAGCCCTTGGGGGGCAGTTCCCTTTCAGCCATGGACGTAAGCGTCGGATGGTTCCCCCGATTGCAAGTATTAGTAGGCGGGAGCGGCAACTCAGCCTCCTTCAGGAAGCGCCCCGACCTCGGTTGCATGCACCCGGCCCAGCACGCCGGGTATCTTCCTGCATGCACTGCGGGCCCAGAGGCTTGTGGGTAACGGGGAGTACGTCATCGCCGACTACATCCCAGACCGCGAGGGACCGAGAGGGCTCCGTGCCGGTGACGTACCGGGCCCTCTGCTGCTCTCCTTGCCAGACCTTCACATCGAGGAATGTGAGGGCATTTGTCCTAGACAGAGCTCACGCAAGAAAGGGAGAAGGAAGAGGGACTCAAAATTCTCCGTAACCCTTTAGTCCTCGCATCCTAGAAAATTCATGTAACACAACAGAAGGTCCTAGGTGTGTGACACAGTGAACTAACCTTGCAGGAGTGTACAGATTTGATCTTATTTGGTGGGGTCTGGTGGTAATGACTTAGAACGTTGCAGCACAGATAAACGTGAACTTACAAAGGAAAAGCAGGCAGCAATCAGATGCAGAAACCGACGCTCTCCTCTGTGTTTTGAAAATCGTAAAACCATATCGCTAGTAGACTTCATACTCTCGGTAGACTTCATACTACTGGATCCCTTTGTTTCTGTTACAATAAGTTCCAGATATTTTTCTTTTTAAATACCACTCAAACACGAAATTAAAAGATTCCTAAGCAGTTATTTTAACGTATTACTAATTATGTATTCGAGTTTAACATGATCTTGTTAATGATACAAAATATGATATTGAGAATTAAAGGTTCCCATTACTATAATCCTGTGCCTTATGGAGAAACCCTGGTGATGTAGTGGTTAAGTGCTAAGGCTGCTCACCGGAAGATTGGCAGCTCAAATCCACCAGGCGCTCCTTGGAAACTCTATGAGGCAGTTCTACTTTGTCCTGTAGGGTCACTGTGAGTCGGAATCGACTCCACGGCAATGGGTTTGGTTTTGGTGCCCTGTGGCACAGTGGTTAAAGCACTCGCTTGCTAACCAAAAGGTCGTGGTTGGAACCCACCAGCCGCTCCGAGGGAGAAAGATGTGCAGTCTGCTTCGCTGAACATTTAAAGCCTTGGAAACCCTATGAGGCTGTTATACTCTGTCGTACAGGGTCGCTATAAGTCAGAATCGATGGAAAGGCAGTGGGTTTGGTTTTTTGTTTGTTTATTACTATAATCATTAAATATTTTTAAACCTATCCTGTTCCAAAAGTTAAGAAAATCAATAAAAGCACATTTTTTGTTATGTCTTTTCAGAACACAGACAGCCAAAGGGGGTCACCTGAGCCGATTTAAATTTGATTCTCTTTGAAAGAGTGATTAAATTAGATCCTTTCTTCTTATGATCCTTTCTGCCTCCATCCTTCTTCCAGCCTCCTTGCTTTGTTGATAAACTGTTGCCTTGACCTGGCATTTGGATTTTCCCCTTGAGGAGAATCTGGTAAATTGTTCTCAAGGATTTTTAGCTACTTGTAGTCTACAGGGTGGGTATGAGTTGGAATCGACTCGATGGCAATGGATAGTAGTTATGTTGACAGTAAGAGTTTAAAACAGAAGTTATGTCAAGCAGATGCACAGCCCCTTCCTGCAAAACATTAGAAAATACAGTGCTAATAATATTTGATTTGTAGCCATATGTAAGGAACTAAACCAAAACCAAACCCACTGCCATGGAGTCAGTTCTGACTCATAGCGACCCTATAAGGTTTCCAAAGCTGTAAATCTCTAGGGAAGCATATTGACACATCTTCCCATGGTTTCGAACCGCTGACCTTCCACTTAGCAATCACTTGCTTTAACCACTGCACCACCATGGTTCCTTATATGTAAGGAAATGGCTATTAAAAATAATACTTACATTTTCAGAACCTAACATCTTGAGATTCAGAACATGCTTTCTCTTATCCATCGAAAATGAGTAGTTTATTAAGACAGCAATCTAGCACAATTCTCAGGGACAGGATTATAGAGACAAAATTTTTTGCTTGTTTGTGTCTCTTCTGAAGGTTACTTCCAAAAACTGCTTACATGATAAGTCACTCATCCTGAAAGTCAAAAAATTTCCAGCCCTTTTAACAGGGGATGGAAGACTTGGCTTTGAACAAATGGATTTTACTAAGAAAGGATTCTTAACTCTTCTTTCAGAATAGGATTGCTGACATATGGCTGTGGTAGAAAACCTAGCTTATCTCTTTCCAAATACTGAGCATGAACTTGTTCATCTGGTTTATGAATACTTAATGATTTTCACTGTGCCCAGTTGTAAGTGAATACAATGCATGAATAAGAATATTTCCGGATATAAAATGTCTTCCAGGGAACTGAGAGGAATATTTTTGCATCCTTTATTATCTTTTCCAGAAAAGTAGATGTACATAGTAGTGCAGTGATGACATTAATGTGAAAATTATACCTAGCCTTATAAAGGGCTCAAAATTTACCATTGAGAATTTTCAGAGAGGGAAAGGAAAAGAGACCAAGGCTTTGTAGATTTTGTTAATTCTAGTAAACATAGGGAAATCCTGGTGGCATAGTGGTTAAGAGCTATGGCTGCTAACCAAAAGGTTGGCAGTTCTAATCCACCAGGTGCTCCCTGGAAACCATATGGGGTAGTTCTACTGTGCCCTATAGGGTCGGTATGAGTTGGAATCAACTGGACGGCGGCGGGTTTTCTTTTTAGTAAACATAGAATGTGAAGTGACCTCTACTTGGAAAGTTGGGCATCAAACATGCACAAAGAGACCTCTAGTGGCCAAATTGAAAAGTTTTGCGTATTTAACAGCTTATCTGGTTATTAGCTGACAAGTGCTTTATGGATTAAAAGCAGTCTGCAATTCTTACTGAAATTTAATACCCTTCATCTTTCATTCTTACACATGTGTAGCCAAGATGAGTAAGGTCTGTGGTCAGCTCACATGTTAAGAGAAGTATTCTCCCTGAGAAAGCAATTTCTTGCTGTCTGGGTTTAGTCAGAGTAGAGCCATTAACATGTTTGTCTTCCTTCTGCAGCCAGATAAAATGGATGGGAAAAGATAACTGGGGAACAATAATATTTCTAAATCTTTCACTTTCCCAAGATGGTTCAGTTGCCATCTGTCATGGATTGAATTGTGTTCCCCAGAAATGTGTGTCAACTTGGCTAGGCCATGATTCCCAGTATTGTGTGGTTGTCCTTCATTTTGTGATCTGATGTAATTGTTCTATGTGTTGTAAATCCTAATCTCTGCCAGTGGTTAATGAGGGAAGATAAGGTTATGTAAAAGAGGATTAGGGTGGGATGCAACACTGCTACTCAGGTCACATCCCAGATCCAATGTAAGAGTTTCCCTGGGGTGTGGCCTGCATCACCTTTTATCTTACAAGAGATCAAAGGACAAAGAAGCAAGCAGAGAGGGACATCATTACCACCAAGAAAGAAGAGCCAGAAGCAGAAAGCATCCTTTGTACCCAGGGTCCCTGCACTGAGAAGCTGCTAGACCAGAGGAAGATTGATGACCAGGACCTTCCCCCAGAGCCAACAAAGAAAGAAAGCCTTCCTCTGGAGCTGGCACCCTGAATTTGGACTTCTAGTCTCGTAACTGTGAGAGAATAAATTTGTTTGTTAAAGCCACCCACCTGTGGTGTTTTTGTTATAGTAGCACTAGATGACTAAGGGACCCCTGGTGGTGCAGCGGTTAAGAGCTACAGCTGCTAACCGAGAGGTTGGCAGTTTGAATACACCAGCCGCTCCTCAGAAACCATATGGGGCAGTTCTACGCTGTCCTATAGGGTCGCTATGAGTCGGAATTGACTCCACTGCAATGGGGTTTTTTTTTTTTTTAAGATAACTAAGACACGACCCTAGGAATTGAAGTGCCTCCAAACTTGCAGTCATTATACAGATATTTAATATATATATAATTTTTTTGAGATTTCTACAGAAACTACTAATCATAAACAACATCTATTACGAGAACATTTATAAAGCAAATTTCTTTAGAGGAATTCAGATTTCCATATGAAGATTTCACAGCATTCCAGTCCTGGGCTCTGGAGAAAAGGCGAGAGAGATGTTTTCCTTCCCATTCCCGCCCTTTCTGCCGCCCCCGATGTAATTCGCGACTCCAAGATGGTTACCATGGTGACTATCAGACATATTACGCTATCAGTAGGGCAAGAGCTTCGTTAATCCAGCCTTCAATCAAGGATTTCCAAGGAAGTTAAGCCACCCTAAAGCATGTGGACAGGCAGAAAAACATCGATCTTTGGGCCACCCAGCACAGATGCTCCTTAAACTAAACCCAATAAAGAAGTCATTTCACCGGTAGGACGAGACCTTTCTTGCTGCTTTCTGGAACTGCTATGGTGAAGGACGGCCCGCCCCGCCCACGCCAGAATTTGAGAGCTCATTGGTTGATAGTGTCGTCACTCAGAATGATGGTCTCGGGTAAGAGGAAAAGAGGAGGAACCATAGAGACTTGGCGTCGGGCCCTTCTAGCTTCGGCAAAGGGGGTGGTCGGGGATGTGGGGGTGTGCGATTGGGAAAGAGCTGGGAGGACTGAGGCGGCCGTTTAAGGGAGGCCGGCCGAGGGGGTAGGGGTGGGGGGCCAACTCCTCAGGCTGTATGTTACTTGGTGTACCGCGCCTGCCCTTTTTCTCTGGAGCTGGCTCCTGCCGTTCCTCCCACCAAGCGCCCAGCTTTTCCGCCACCGTCCAGTTTCCCACCGCGCTCTCCTCGGCTCTTGACCTCATCCGCCCGCCGGCTCGCCCATGTTCCCACCACCCCCAAACTTTGGAGCTCAGCCTCCGTTCTCCCTCCTTCCGTGTTTCGCTTCCCCCTTTCTCTTTCGTACTCTGCGCCCTGCTTCTCCCGTTTTCCTTCCATAAACTCGGATCACCAACGAGGTTCTTAGTCCCGGTGCCTGCCCCACCCTCGCACCAAAAAACAAAGAACACACACCCTACCCTAGACTCCACCACAACAAACCACCAACATACAACGAGCACAGGACCCCCAACAAAAGCCACTGACTGAGGATGCCGAGGGGGCGTTTTGTACGGTGTCATGAAGTGTCAGACACAAAGGTAACTCCAGGAGCCTTGAGTCATTGGACCCACGGCGTGTGAGCCCCGACCCCGCCGGCCTGGGAAGTGGGCGCCACAGCGAAAGGCAGGAGCCAGAGCGCAGATTAACCGCAGGATGAGGTCTTGCCTCCCTTCAGCAAGAGACCATCCGTTGTTGGTCAGGGTCTCCCGCTCTTTCAGATGCTCTAAAGTATTATTTGAACCCGTGTTCAAAATCTCAGCTCTGTGGTTGAGGTTTCCATGTAGAAGAGTCCCTGGTACTCCCTTCTTAGCTGCACTAAAGCAGAGTTGACAGTATGAGATTCTCAGGCTCCTTGCTGCCCCTTGCTGAAAGGGGTGGAGAACGGTTTTGGTGAAGCGTATTTAAAGTACAAAACTCACTTTGGGTTCTTCGGAGAATAACTCACAAAAGAAACCAGTTTACCTCTACTTCAACTATTAGTAGCCGCTGTGTATATCTTCACTGTTACATAAATGAGATTAGGGAGTACTTTCAATCTCCGGGGTTTGGAGCAGCTTGGCCAGGTATGGAAAAAAGCTAATTGAAACAAATCCAGGATATTCACCTTCTACTTGTATTTTTAGACTACAAATAAACGTGTCTTACTCACCTTCTTGAATATTTGACAGCCATTCAAGCAAATTACTAGATACTATTGACCAGAAATTGAAGTGCCTTTGAAGGTTGGATCATCATATTAAAGATAATTTCTATATGTTGGGATCTCAAGGTACCACTCTCAATTCCAGAGCTAAGAAAATATTATTCACGAATGTTGGAAATGAGCTTGAGGGAGTTTTTGTACCTCAAATGGAATATGCACATTTTCTATTCTTGCAATAGCTAAAAATACTTAAACCCTAATATCTTTTTAATTGATGTGTTTTTAAAATACTAAATTACTCCTTCTGCCTAGGTCCCTATGTTGACTAGTTGAGACAAATATAAATATGGCCTTCTACACTTGTAATACAGTCTTAGCTACTGCCCGAACAAGGTAAGTGTTGGAATTTTCTCTGCAATATTTATATGAACTGCACTTTTCTAGATGGAAAAGATATGTGTAAACGCATAGGCTTAGTATGTTGATTTTTAATTAGGAAGCTGACATTTTAATGTATTTGAATTTACCCAGAATTTTCTATATGCTTTACATGGAAGTGGAGCCCTGATGTCACAGTGTTGAGAGCTTAGCTGCTAACCAAAAGGTTGGCAGTTTGAATCTACCAGCTGCTCCTTGGAAACCCTATAGGGTCCCTATGAGTCGGAATCTACTTTACCACAACCGGTTTGGTTTTGGTTTTACATGCAAGCATAGAACTTTGTGCTTTAGAACTTAGGCATGTTGCATAAAGAACTTTATAGATGTGTGGTATAGGTAAAATGAAGTTTTAGAGTGATACCTTTATAATTGAGGAACGTTACATGAGGCCTTTAGATTAAAAAGGGGTAAAATGGAGAGCAAGCCAGTCCTAGAGCATTGACTTGCCACATTAAGATCTGTTATCACTTCTTTATTCAAAAGAATATTCACTGAGAACTTACTATATGCCAGATACATTGTACAGTCTTAACTTTTAGCCATTCAAAGAGTGGTTTATTCTTGGAAGGCTTCAAAAACAGTCTGAAGGAATGGAAAAGCTGTCTCTTTTCCAAAAGAAGTCTCTTTGCCAGTAACTTTCTTTGCCTACATGCGTCTTATTTTTATTTTCAAACAATCTTATGTGCTAGTTTAACTGAAGATTGATTGTAGGATATTGCAAAACTAGAATGTAGAAATTTATGGCTGGAGAGCCCGATTCTAATTCTTATTCCTAAAATTCTTGAGGAATTTTAGGTGAAGGGCATTTGAGCTGTAACTGCTCCTCATTTGAGGGGGAAATGTAGGCACTGTGAAGACAAAGCAGTGATGTGATTGGTTAATCCTCATTGGGACGATAAAGTGTTTCATTAAAACAATATTCCTGTTGTCAGTAGCGTGGCTGACAACACAAGTCTTCCACCTGTTTTATGACAGTAGATAGAGACAACACTTTCATATACAACCACTGGTGAAAAAATGTTTGCTATTAGATTTTTAAATTAATAGTTGCAGAGGTTCTAACTTCTAATATAGCAATTTATTCTTGTGAATTAACTTATTAAAAATATTTATCATGGAATATATTATTCAACCATAGAGTACACTGACCTTCAACTGAAGTAAAAAGTCATATTTCATTCAGTAATGAACATCACGTGCTTTTAAAATACAGGCTTAAAAACCATTGTTTTCTTTTAATCAGATAAATTTTTTTTTAACTTTGAAGTTTTTAATAGTATGTGTTCAACTCAGAGGATGTTGCTCTTTGTTCCAGATTTCCTAGCCTTTTTGTCCATCCTACCTGCTCTTCTTATTCCCCATCTCTTGCATGTCTTCAATTGCCAGATTCCCATTTAAATAAAAGATACGTGAAGAACTATGGAAGCAAGAAGTACTCCCATTCTAGCCAGTCAGGCAATAGAGTACTTCACTTACAAACTAGAATAATACAAAAGCTACACACATCAACATGCTGGCTTCAGGAGGTCCCTGGTAAACCTCAGCCAGAGCAAACCACAGAACAGCCACAGGTGACAAGCCCTCAGCCCACAAAAGAAACTGGCACGAAGATTAAGGAAGTAAAGCGATCTTATAGACAAATAATCCTGGATGAACTTAAATATTATTACAATGGATTCCACTTGCTTTGGATTGACACCAAAGTTGCTGCCAGAATGGTTTGGAGGCTGTTGCATGGACAGGTGCTGACAAGACGAGAGAGACGAAGGGTAGGCAAGAGTCATATTTGAGAAAGAAAATGTGAAGTTACAATTAAGTATTTGGGAGCCAAGGTTTAAACTCAATTTAAAATTCATTTTAAAAATCCCAAAGTAGGAATAGTAACTGCTGGTGAGAACCAGAGTTGATTACTGAGATTCTTACTTACCGGCAACTGACTTATTGTACAACTTTAGGCAAGTTTCTTAAAATTTGTATATATTTGCCTATAGAATGGTTATTGTGTTTTCTAATCTCTCCAAGGATTTGTGCATCTGAAGTACAAACTGTTGTTAATATATTAAGTATATGAATTCTTAAAACCAATTTTAACATACTGTGTTATTAAAGTATGGACTTCTAACTTAGATGAAAGCAAAGAGATGCCAATAACATGGTTTGATTATCATAGATTTCCTTGAAGATATCCCATAAATATTACTTCAGAGCTATGGTAAAGAGGAAAACACTGCCTTTCCATTTTAAAAAAACAGCTGCAGAAAATCTTTCTTGGGTTTTTAACACTTTAAGAACCCAAGGCAGGCTTTTTTGGGTTTTGTTATGGCATGTCCTACAATAATGAATATTGCATATGCATTTAATTCTTTAGCTGCTGAGAACTTGTGCTGATCTCTTCCGCCTGGTTCCATTTCTGGTGTTCATAATTGTACCTTTTATGGAATTCTTATTACCAGTGTTTCTGAAACTCTTCCCAGAAATGTTGCCATCAACTTTTGAAAGTGAATCCAAAAAGGTATGTAGGATATTTTAACTTGTGTGTGTGTGTGGTAAAATATAGATAATATAAAATTTGCCATTTTAACCATTTTTGATATGCAATTCAGTGGCATTGATTACATTCACAATGTTGTGCAAGCATCACCCCTATTTCCAAAACTTTTTTATTACCCCAAACAGAAATTCTATGCCCATAAAGCAATAACTCCCCATTCCTCCTTCCTTCAGTCCCTGGCAACCTCTAATCTTCACTTTCTGTCTCTATACATTTGCCTATTCTACATATTGCATGTAAGTGGACTCATACAATAGCTGTCCTTTTGTGTCTGGCTTATTTCACTTAGGATGTTTTCAAGGTTTATCCATGTTGTAGCATGTATCAGAACTTCATTCCTTTTTATAGCTGAATAATATTCCATTGTACGTATATATCATATTAACTTGTTTTTAATCATTAAAAAATAAAGAAAACAAAAATGAACTGTTACTACAGTAACTAGTTGAATAGTAGATATGACTCACTCAGCCAAACAGGCCGTTCAGTGCTTATGAGTACTTCCATGATAAGAGGTGCCCTCACTGAGCATGATGATCACTGTGAAGGTGGTGGGCTAGAAAACAGAGGCAGCTCTTTCATTCTCTCTATTCTATGCCATCTACTAGGCAGTAGTATGAAGGTATAAACAAAGCATTATGAGAAGACAAAGGGGGCAACTTTTAGCTCAGTACCAAACCAAACAAAATTCGCTGCTGTTGATTCTGACTCATAGTGACCCTATAGGACAGAGAAGAAGTGCTCCCTAGGGTTAAAGGCTCTGACTCTTTGTGGAAGCAGATTGCCACATGGTTCTCCTGAGGAGCAGCTGGTGGATTCAAACGGCTGACGTTTTGGTTAGCAGCTGAGAGCTTAACCACTGTGCCACCAGGGCTCCTTTTAACTCAATAAGATTGGAAAATGTTTCACAGGTAACACCACACAGTGTGTGAAAAACATTCTGGGTAGAAAGAATCGCTTTTAAAACAGCTTAATGATATAAAAGAATATTGATGTAGTCAGAGACCATTGATTGGTTCATTGTAGTTGGAATAGGGGATCAATGGCAGATGAGACAAAAGTGATACGTTGGGGTCAGGTTGGAAAGCATCTCTACCCTAAGGAATTTAGACAACCTTTGACAGTGGTGATTCATAGAATGTAAAATTTTAAGAAGGAAGGAGTTACATGATTAGATGTGTGTTTTAGAAAAATAATTTTGTTGGCAAGAAAGATTGAAGAGGACAGAGCCCAGGTAGGGAAATCAGGTGGGATGCTATTGCAATTTCTGATGAACAAGTCACTGGTCTTGCAGAAGTCTATCATGCGATCTCCAGCATCATTCCTATCAGCAAGACTGCATTTTCCAACTACTGATTCTTTATTTTTGTTTCCAGCTTTCGCATTCCAATCACCAATAATTATCAGTGCATCTTGACTGCAAGCCTGATCAATTCCAGACTGCAGCAATTTGTATAAGTCTTCAGTTTCTTCATCTTTGGCATTCTTGGTTGGTGTGTAAATTTGAATATTAGTTGTATTAACTTGTCTTCCTTGTAGGCATATGTATATTAACCTACCACTGTCAGGATTATACTTCAGGATAGATCTTGAAATGTTCTTTTTGACAATGAATGCAGTGTTGTTCCTCTTCAATTGGTTATTCCCAGCATAGTAAACCATATGATTGTTGATTCAGAATGACCAACACTGGTACATTTCAGTTCACAAATGCCTAGGATATCAATCTTTAAGTGTTCTATTTCATTTTTTGCAACTTCCAATTTTCCTTGATTCATACTTTGTACATTCCACATTCCGATTATTATTGGACGTTTACAGTGTTGCTTCTCATTTTGAGTTGTGCCACATCAACAGATAGAAGTCCAGAAGGCTTTCTTCCATCCACAGCATTAAGGTCTTTTGTATTCTGAGGAGGCAGCTCTTCCCCGGTCATATTTTGAGTGCCTTCCAATCCGAGGGGCTCATCTTCCAGCACTGTATTGGACAATGTTCTTTTGTTATCCATAAGGTTTTCATTGGCTAATTTTCAGAAGCAAGTCGCCAGGCCTTTTTCCTACTCTGTCTTAGTCTCAAAGTTCCACTGAAACTTGTCCACATGGATGACCCTACTGTTATTTGAGATACCGATGGTATAGCTTCCAGCATCATAGTAACACACAAGCCACCACAGTACGACAAACTGGAAATACTTTTTTCAACAACACAAACAATGACTGTACACGTGGACCTCACCAGATGTTTTAAACAAGAATCAAATCAACTACATGTATGGAAAGAGATGATGGAGAAGCTCAGTATTATTAGTCAAGACAAAGCCAGGGACCAACTGTGGAACAGACCATCAATTGCTCATATGCAAGTTCAAGTTGAAGCTGAAGAGAATCAAAGCAAGCCCAAGAGAGCCAAAGTACAACCCTGAATATATCTCAGCTGAATTTAGAAACCATCTCAAGAAAAGATTTGATGCACTGAACACCAATGACCAATGACCAGATGAGTTGTGGGATGACATCAAGGACATCATACATGAAAAAAGTAAAAGGTCATTAAAAAGACAGGAGAGAAAGAAAAGACCAAAATAGATGTCAGAAGAGACTCTGAAACTTGCTCTTGAGTTCAGCTAAAGTGAACAGAAGAAATGATGAAGTAAAAGAGCTAAACAGAAGATTAGAAGGTCACTTGAGAAGACAAGGTAAAGTATTATAATGAAATATGCAAAGACCTAGAGTTAGAAAATCCAAAGGTAAGAACATGATCAGCATTTCTGAAACTGAAAGAAGGGGAGAGAAAATTCAAGCCTTGAGTTGCAGTGTTGAGGGATTCTATGTGCAAAAAATTGAATGACGCAGAAAGCATCAAAAGAAGATGGAAGGAATACACAGAGTTACTGTACCAAAAGAATTGGTCAATGTTCAACCATTTCAGATCAAGAACCACTGGTATTGAAAGAAGAAGTACAAGCCACACGGAAGGCATTGGCGCAAAACAAGGCTCCAGGAACTGGTGGAATACCAATTGAGATGCTTCAACAAACAGATGCAATGCTGGAAGCACTTACTCATCAATATCGAGACATTTGGAAGACCACTACCTGGCCAACCAACTAGAAGGTATCCATATTTATGCCCATTCCAAAGAAAGGCAGTAAAACAGAACATGGAAATTATTGAACAATATCATATGCTAACAAAATTTTGCTGAAGATAATTCAAAAACTACTGTAGCTGTACATCGACAGGTAATTGCCAGAAGGTCAAGCCAGATTTAGAAGAGGACATGGAAGGAGAGACATCATTGCTGATGTTAAATGGATCTTGGCTGAAATATGTTTACACAAAATAATTTGTGTATAAATTTTTGAATGAGAAACTAATTTGCAGTGTAAACTTTCACCTAAAACACAGTAAAAATAAATAAATAACACATGGTTGGTTTAAAAACAAAAACGGTGTTCCAGAACACTTAAGTGTGCTCCTACAGATCCTATGTATAGATCAAGAGGCAATTGTTCGAACAGAACAAGGGGATACTACATAATTTAAAATTGGAAAAAGTGTGTGGTAGAGTTGTATCCTTTCACCATACTTACTCCATCTGTATGCTGAGCAAATAATCTGAAAGGCTGGACTATTTGAAGAAGAATGCAGCATCAGGATTGGAGGAAGACTTATTAACAACCTGTGATATGCAGATGTTGCAACTGTGCTTGCCAAAGGTGATGATAACTTGAAGCACTTATTAATGAAGGTAAAAGATACAGCATTCAGTATGAATTACACCTGAACATAAAGAAAATCCTTACAACTGGATCAATAAACAACATCATGATAAGTGGCAAAGAATTTGAAGTCGTCAAGGATTTCATTTTACTTGGATCCACAATCAGTGCCCATGGAAGCAACAATCAAGAAATCAAATGACTTCAAAAATGCTAAGATTGGCACAAATTAAAAATTTTTATAGCATCAAATTTCGGCAGGGATGTGAGGAAACAAGAACATTGCTGTGATATAAACTGGCACAATTACTTTAGAGAGTAAACTGGTACTGTCTAGTAAAATGAAGGGAGCCCATACTCTACACCCAGCAAAATGCCTCACATGTATTCACAATGAGATATGTATGTGGGCACTTACTACAACATCTCTTTTTAATAGTGAAAGAATGGAAACTACCCAACTATCCATCAGTTGGGGAATAAATAAACTGTGGTTTAGTCTATGATTAAAAAAAAGAAATCAAATGACACTGGGCAAATCTGCTGCAAAAGACCTCTTGGAAGTATTAAAAAGCAAAGATGTCACTTTGATGACTAAGCTATGCCTGATACAAGCCATGGTATTTTCAATTGCCTCATATGCATGCAAAAGCTGGACAATGAAAAAGGAAGACTGAAGAATTGATGTATTCAAATTCTGGTGTTGGCAAAGAATTTTGAATATGCCATGGACTGCCAGGAGAACAAACAAATCTGTCTTGAAGGAAGTACAACCAGAATGCTCCTTTAGAAGTGAAGATGGTGACACTTTGTCTCACTTCCTTTGGACATGTCATCAGGAGGGACATCATGCTTGGAGAAAGACATCATGCTTGGTAAAGTAGAGGGTCAATGAAAAAGAGGGAGACCCTCAACAAGATGGAATGACACAGTGGCTGCAACAATGGACTCATACATAGCAATGATTGTGAGGATGGTGCAGGACTGGGCAGTGTTTCATTCTGTTATATATGGGTTTGCTGTGAGCAGGAGCTGATTCCATGGCATGTAACAACAAACAACAAGCTATTGCAGTAGTCCAAGGGAGAACGGAGCCTGAATTGTGAAAATGGGAGTAGGAGTAGAGCCTTCAAGATGGATTTGAAATACATATTAGAGGTAAAATCAAACTGCAATATTTAACTGCTTAGAAATGTTTTCATTTACATTTAAAATAATCAGGATCTAGAGTTAATACCATGGCATTCCAAAGAAGGGCTAGTGAATGCAGGAAGATAGAGGTAGAGAGGAAGTGAATTATCTAAATTTACCTCTTATCCTCAATACTACCCATTCCCCAAACATTCATAAATACATCATGGGCACAGTGTTAGACAATACTTTCTTTGTTTTGTCCCATGGAGAGAGAGAGAGACCTACCGTTCTGCTTGTGTCAGATCACAGTACCGTGCATCTCTTTCATAGTACTTATCCGTAATACTTTTATATTAATTTGTGCAGTCACTATATTATCATTAGTTACTAATGCTTGTCTCTCCCACTAGACTGGAAGTTCCGTGAGGGCAGAAATTCTGATCTGTTTTGTTCGTTTTACCCCCAGCACCTAGCACATGGTAGATGCTCAATAAATAAAATGGATGAATAGATGGATATGGATGAATGAAATGGAGATGACTAAGTGGGTTCTAACCATGGTATTGCCATTGTGTGATTTGACTGCATCTTTTAAGATCTCTCTAAAAATCAATAATTCGTATAATTGGCTGATCATGAAAATCTCCTGTGCAACTTAAAAAATATAGATCCTCCAAACAGTTTTTTTTTTTTTAATTAAAAATATACATTCTGCTCCTCTCTACCCCTCTGAGTCCTGACCATGGTTATTTTGAAAATGCTACCACAGTGCATTTTTGATGATGAGCAAGGATTAAGAAATACTGGTCAAGAGAGCGTCTTAAAAGTATACATTTAATACTCTGTAGTGCTTTGTTCAAATATCTGTTATACCACTGAATTGTAATTAATTGTGTTTGTTTTCTACTTAAAATTTAAGCTACTATAGGGCAGAGATAATTTCCTATTTATCTTTGTTTACTGTAAAGCAAAATCCAGGGCTACTCAGAGCAGCAGTTGGCTTGACTAGTTTGGCTTAAATAGTTTGAACCAAATTTGAAGACAGTATCTCATTCTAAACAATGACAAAGCCTCCCACTGAGGCGACATTTTGGATCTATCAAATGTACTAGTGAGAACTAAAAAGTAAGATTAAAAAGAGAAGTTGCATATAGAGGCTACTTTTTTTTTTTGCTCTGATTCTCACAAAACCCACTCAATTAGGCCTGAAAATAATATTAATGCATGAAATAAGGATGAACAATAACATGGTGATGGTTATTTTTCTCCCATTCTTATCTACCAGGTTGCAATCATGAAAGATTGATTAACTTTTTCCTCTTCTACTATCCAGGAAGAAAAACAGAAAAAGAAAATGGCTGCAAAGTTGGAACTAGCAAAATTTCTCCAAGAAACAGTTACAGAAATGGCAAGGAGGAACAGAGCCAAGCTGGGAGATGCCTCTACACAGTTCTCATCCTACATAAAACAGGTGTCAGTCTTTTATACAATACCAAACAACTTCTAGGTTGAGATGATATGAAAAATGCATGTCATCATGGATTTTCCAGATTGTTCTCAGATCAATGAAGTTGCAGATGAAGTTATAAACATACAACATTATAAATTTTATGTTTGGGTAACCCACTGTAGAAGTTTACAGAAAAGTCTATCTTAAAGCAATTAATGTGTTGAAGACATTGGTAACTTCTTGGAACGGACTCTAGAATCAGAGTCAGACTTTGGAACTACTTCTGATTCTTTAGCTGATTTAGGCTGACTTTAGGCAGATTTCTTTACTCCTCTTTGTCGTACAGGGTCCATTTCCAGACATCAGATAGAGCCCATAAATGCTCTGACGTCTCTTTCAAATAGTCAACTGGGAAAGCTAAATTAAGTAGGAAACATGTTTTAATTAGCCTCTTTGTCCCACTGCCTAGGTCCAGACAGGCCACAAGCCCAGCACAAAGGAGATAGTTCGCTTTTCCAAACTATTTGAGGATGAGCTAACCATGGAGCATTTAGATCGACCTCAGCTGGTTGCCCTTTGCAAATTGCTAGAATTGCAGGCCTTTGGAACCAACAATTTGCTCCGCTTTCAGCTCCTGATGAAACTGAAGTCTATAAAGGAAGATGATGAAGTAAGAGCTTAACTATAGCCATAGGGAATTAGCAAGACATTGGGAGATAATAAGGATTATCATAAGGTAGCTTTGAGATGAAGTACAGTATTTTCTGTTGGGTCTAAGTGGTCCACAAGTTCTGGCAAAATGAGTGGTTTAAACAACCATTATCGTGATAACTTGAACCTTGATTATTGATTTTAGGAGTTGTTTGTTGTACCCTGACCCATTTTATTGAGAAGGCCATCATAAGCAGTTAGTAATTTGGATGTCTCAGCTGGGACTCATCTAAAGCAGGACCGTGCTCTACCCCCACACCTATGCTCCCACAGAGCTGGGCCAAAGTAAATGTTCTGCTGGTTGAGTTGGCCTAGTAAGAAGGGGTGGCAAAGCAGAATGCTGGGAGGAAAAGCAGAGCCTCGACATCTTATAGAAGAAGGGAACTGTATGGTCTCTAACTACTAAATAGATACCATAAAAAGATGGAAAGAATGCTTCCTGAATCTGAATCAGCTGCTTTAAACTATTCTGTCTGAGGGAGCAGGTTTCCCAGAACTGAGAAAGCATGATCCTATCAACCCCATTTCAATTTCAGGTGTTCTTTCAGAACTTTGGAATAAACAATACTAGTCTCAGAAGTATCACAGTTTGCAGTCACACCAAGCAAGCATTGTGTTAAAGTATTCATGAGGGAGTTTTGTGGTCCAGAGAGTTGGGGCCATCCCTGGGGTCCTGGTAGGGGGACTGTGGAGGAGGAACACTGGGACATGTAACAAATGGTACCTGGAAAGCTTTTCAAGTGAAATATTTTTCTAATGAATCCTAAAGCTGCCATGAAAGGGAAAAGGAGCAGAGATGTCACAGCCAGGCAAAATGCAAATCAAGAGGGAAATAATTCCTTTGGTGACAGAATGTTGGGGACGAGTTAGGTAAATACCTCTGATATTATTAGTACCTATTGGCAGGATTCCCTCCTCTCAACTCCTACCTCCCTGAGTCTCTGTTTTGTAAGGCTCCTGGCCTTTGCAGCAGTGCAGGGGACAAAGAGAGCACAAGACCCTGTGTTTCCCCGTGATTTGCTGGAACTTGGGGATTATGCGACATTGGAGCCAACAGAGCCAACACCGTGTCTTACTTTTTTTTTTTTCAGGTGATTGCCAAAGAAGGGGTGAGTGCCCTGAGTGTGTCAGAACTCCAGGCTGCCTGCAGGGCCCGAGGAATGAGGTCACTGGGTCTCACTGAGGAACAGCTGAGACAACAGCTTACAGAGGCAGGTGGCAGCTTTTTACTAGTGCTCTCTCCCCAACACTTTGCAGAACTTGTTTTGTGATTTCTACTTGGCAAGTGAATCATTTTCCCTAATTTGCCTTATTTAATCGAGCTACTGACCAAGCAGCAGTGTGAGTCGGTGTGCAGTAGGACACTGAAGAGGTAGACTGATTTTTCACATTGATTGGGACAGGGCACTGTATTAGTTTTCTGTAGCTGCACAACAGATTATCACCAACTTAATGGTTTCACACAACACCCATTTATTAGCTCACAGTTCCGTTGGTCCGAAGTGCCGGCTGTGTTCGTTTCTGGAGGCTGTGGGGAAGAATCCTCTTCCAAGTTCATTCAGGTTGGCTGAATTCAGTCCCTTGCAGCTGTAGGACTGAGGTCCCTGTTTCCTTGCTGGCTCTCCACCCCAGGCTACTCCCAGCTCCTAGAGAAGGCCTGCGTTCCTTACCTGGTGTGGCCCTCAGCAAGACCAGCAATGGAGAACTTCTTGCACTTCAGATCCCCCACATGCTTCAGATCTTTGACTTTCTCTGTTTCTAACTCTAGGCCAGATTTAAATGGCTCATGTGGTTAGGTGAGTACCACCCAGATAATCTCCCTATTTTATAGTCAGCTGATTTGGGACTTTAATTAAAAAAACTCATTACCGTCAGGTCAATTCCAACTCATAGTGGCCCTATAGAGAGTAGAATTGCCCCATAGGGTTTCCAAGGCTGTTATCTTTACGGAAGCAGAGTGCCACATCTTTCTCCCGTGGAGTGACCTGGTGGGTTTGAACCACCAACCTTTTGGTTAGCTGCTGAGTACTTTAACCACTGCACAATTACATTTACAAAATCCCTTCATAAACAGCACCTAAATTAGTGTTTAGGAGCCCTGATGGCGCAGTGGTTAAGCAGTTAAGTGGCTAATTCTGACTATGAACCAACAGGTTGGGTTTTGTAGTTTTAGGTTAGTGTTTGATTGAATAACTGGGAGAAGGTGTATGTACACTAAGGACTGGAATCTTACGGCCATCTTAACATTCTGCCTGCTACAGATGCTTTAAGGGTCTGGGCAAAATCTGCATGAATTCTTCTGGCTGTCTTAACCTTCCCACCCTGGTGGCCCACTCGGGGCTTCTTTCCCTACTAATGTCCCAAATCAATGTCAAGTGTTCACTCTGGTAACAGATTGTCTTAGGCTGGGTTCTCTAGAGAAGCAAAACCAGTAAAGTGTATAAATATATATATAGAGAGAGATTATATCAAGGAAACAGCGCACACGATTGTACAGGCTAGAACATCCCAAGTCCGTGGATCAGGGTAGAGGCCTCTCCCAAGTCACACAGCTGCAGAAGCTGGCAAGCCCAAGATCGGAAGGTCGGAGAGCAGGGCTCCCACTCACAGGCTGTGAAGATCAATGAATCCCAAGTTCGGCAGATAAGCTGACAGCTCAAGTCCCGAGAACGGGAGATGAGATGACAGGAAGCATCCGCAGGATCCAGAGAGAGCAAAAAGCCAGAACGTCTGCTTATATACAGATGGGGGCCACACCCCCAAGGAGACTCCCTTTCATCTGATTGGTTACTCACAGTATATTCAATCATGGGAGTGATTACATTAAAACATGGAGAATCATGGCCCAGCCAAGTTGATGCACAATCTTAACCATCACACAGATGTTTAATATTTTCCCACAAATAACATACTTGTATTTTAACTAAGAGCTTCAATGCTCTAAACCAAAGGCGTAACTCCTATTAAAATTCTCATTCCTGTCCCAGCCCTGGGTGGTTCCCTCGGGCGGGTGGCTGTAGCCAGGGCAGAGAGAGGGTGGGGATGGAGTAGTAAAAAAAAAAAAAAAAAAAAAAAAAAAAAAAAAAAATCTCATAATTGTAAAAAGTGCTATAAAGTATACACAAATTATTTTGAAATAGGAGCCACTGTTGTGACTTTGAAACCATGTTGTGTAGCTGTTACCTCTTCCATCAGGTTGGAAGATGAACATATTGTAGAGAGGTACTTAAAATCATTTCTTTCTTAAACATAAAGTATTAAGTGGGTTCATTGTCATATTGTTAAATTGCTTTCTTGGAAAGGTGTATCATTTTACAATCCCCCTAGGAGGGAGTGACGGAGCCCTGGTGGTGCAGTGGTTAAGAGCGCAGGCTTCTAACCAAAAAGTCAGTAGTTCGAATCAGCCAGCCACTCCTTGGAACCGTATGGGGCAGTTCTGCTCCATCCTATAGGGTGACTAAGAGTCAGAATCGACTCGATGGCAACAGATTTGGTTTGGTTTTGGATGAGGGAGTGAGAATACTAATCTGGCCATATAATATCCAGCACTATGTATTATTATTCAAGAAATCCTGTATTAGGATATAAGCAGAAAATTCACAGAAAGGAAAATTTAAAAATGGTAAACATATGAAACATCTTAACCTTACTCATACTAAGCGGAATTAAAACTATGAGATGGAACATTCACCTTTTGATAATGGCAAATAACAGTTTGATAACACACTGTGTTTGTGAGAGTTTTGGGGAGAAGGGTACTCATGCATTGCTAGTAAAAAATCTCCATGGAGAGCAATTTGGCAGTAGCTATCCAAATTTAAAATTGCATATACTCTTTGGCCTAGCAATTTCACTGCTAGGAATTTATCCTGTATTCTTGCACATGTACAAAGTGTCATACGTAAAAGATTATTCATTGCAGCACTGTTAATAATAGCCAAAGATTGAAAACAGCTTAAAGTTCATTTTTGTTGTTGTTGGGTGCTGTCGAGTCGATTCTGACTCATAGTGACCCTATAGGACAGAGTAGAACTGCCCCCACAGATTCCCAAGGCTGTAAATCTTTATGGAAGCAGACTGCCACATCTTTCTCCTGTGGAGCAGGCTGGTGGGTTCAAACTGCCAACCTGTCAGTGAGCAGCCAAGCACTTAACCGTTGCACCACCAATGATGATATTTCCACATAGTGAAATCCTTTAATGATTTAAACATTAAAAATGTTTAAAAAGGAGGCAGCTCTACATGTACTGAGGTATCAAACTCTAAGATATATATTTCAGTGAAAAAAAGCGAAGGACAAAACAGTGTGTATATGTCACCCTTTGTGTAAAGACAACTATATAAACATATATATTTGTGAAAACACAGGATATCTCTGGAAGATTAGGAATTGGTCCAAGGAACTGTTTGTTTCTAGGGAGAGAAACAGTAGCTAGGGAATAGGGGTAGAAGGCAGACTGATTTTTATTGAATGGATTTTATTCACTTTCAGAATTTAATATCTTGTGCATGTATTACTGATTTAAAAATATTTTTAAAAAAGCTTGAAGACTTACATTTAATTCTCATTTTAATTTTTTTTTTTTTTTTTTGGTTATTAATGAGGCTGATTTATTCTTTGATGTTTTCTGGGGTTTTTTTTGCTTATGAGAAGACACTTGCTACTTTGATCCAGAATTGGTTGTATTCTAAGGAGTTTGAGAGTGTAATTGAATACCTCCCTCTCCAGCCCTGAGGGAGCCCACTGTAGTGAGGAAGGCTGCAGGGTACAGCCACTGGTGCAGAGGTCACGAGGCTGGTATTCTTCTTGTTCTGACATTAGTTATCAGCATGAACCCTGGAAGCTGTAAAGTGAGGGAAGCAGTAGATGATTGCGGGTTTGTTCCAGCTGTGACAGTCTGTTATTCTCTTATGTTTTATTCTCCTCCCATTCTCCAGTGGCAGGACCTGCACCTGAAGGAGAATGTCCCTCCTTCTCTTTTGCTCCTGTCACGCACTTTCTACCTGATAGATGTGAAGCCAAAGCCAATTGAGATACCCCCAAGTGTGGAGGTGAGTAACTGGGCTCATGTGAATCTAGATTTTGGAATTTGGCCCAACTGTCTTTAAATTTTTTTAAAAAAATTCTTAAAAGGAAATTAAAGCCACTCAGACACCTCTAGCCATAGGGCTGTTAAGGAGCTCTGGTGGTGCAGTGGTTAAGTGCTCAGCTGCTAACTGAAAGGTTGGTGGTGTGAACCCACCAGCCACGCTGTGGGTGAAAGATGTGGCAGTCTGCTTCCGTAAAGATTATAGCCTTGGAAACCCTATGGGGGAGTTCAGCTCTGTTTTACAGGGTTTCTATGAGTTGGAAGTGACTGGACAGCAACGGGTTTAGAGCAAGGAAAACTCTGTCCCGCATTCTAGAAGTTCTAGAGCTCATTTAATCTATTTAAAAAATAACAATTAAAAAAAAAAAAAAACACAACACACAAACCTGCTGCCATCAAGTCATTTCTGACTCATGGCAACCCCACCTTTCATAGTAACTGCACTTGATAGAATTTTCAAGGTCTATCATCTTACAGAGGGAGCCTTGGTGGTGCCGTGGTTAAAGTGCTCTGCTGCTAATGGTTTGAACACTGCGGGAGAAAGACGTGGCAGTTTGCTTCTGTAAATATTTACAGCCTTGGAAACCCTATGGGGCAGTTCTACTCTGTCATATAGGGTTGCTGAGTCAGAATCGACTTGATTGCAGTGGATTTCTATAGGGCTTTTACTTCCTTTAATCCTCCCTTGATTTAGGAATTTTGCCAGTAGGAGTCCAATTTATCCTTTATCTATCTAGTCTTCATTAGCAAACTGCTTTTGTCACCTTTACTTCTTCTTTTAGGCCAGACTGAACGGTTCCTGTTCTTTCACGTTTGTTTCATTATCCATATTCCTACTAATTTTTAAGCAGGAAATGGCTAATCTACAATGTAAACTTGTCTTCCTTTACTCATTTCCTTACTCATTTATTGTTACTTCTAACTCAGCAACTTTGTTTCTCCTGGTTATTTACTGAAGAAGCCAGTATCGGCCCTGTCACCAGGGCATCTTGCTCAGCGCCATCAAGAAGGGCCTCTTGCATCTCTGTCTGACTCAGAACTTCATGGGCAAAAAAGAAAAAAAACCATTATAGAAGATGCTGTACATGTGGTTTAGTAGATTAAGACAAAGCACTTCAGGGTGAAGGCTAATCATTTTTAATCTGTTATGCTGCTGAGTCCTTGGGCAAACCAAAGAAAACCATTTGAAGTCCAGCATGAAAATGTACTTCAGGAAACAGCATCTTGCCTTCATTCCAAATTTCTGGAGACTAGTTTGGATTTGGGCTTAGTCCAGGAGTGATTCTAGGGAGACTGGAGGCAGTTCTGGAGCACAGACCATGTTTGAAGAGGCACGCTAGTGGTTTCTCACTCTAATCAAACTCCTGGATCCATTTTGAACAGTCCAAAGTTATTTGTCATTTTTAGACTGCTCTCAGCAACAAGGAAATCTTGGATCAGCACGTCTCAGAGCTAAATTTGGGTTTCAGAGTTATTATAGATGGGCATAAACTCATTGTCCAGATGTTGCTTTCTAGGTAAGAAAGACCTAGGAATTTAGGACAAAGTGACAAGCTCCTAGGCATTTTATTGGTTGCTTTTTTATCCATGTTTTTAAAACTTCTATTCTCCATATATACACAATGAGAACAAGAAGCATTCTAGATTCTGTAGAGAATTTAGAACATCAAATTGAGCACAAAGTATGTAAAGAAATTACTTCAAAAAGGCAGTAATATACATTTTTCACAGTTAATTAACATAATTCTTAAAGATAGGTTAGCTGGCTGTTCTCAAATGCCACTGCCCTCCCCCGCTCACACTTTCCTCTTGCTGCAGGAGCTATTAAGCAACACCTCCCATTGTAATAAATCAGGCAAATTTATCAACTACTTATTATTAGACACTAAAAATGATGAAAATTTTAACTAAGCTATGTCATTGCTATTAGAAACTAATGAGTAATTGAGAAGTGGCCACCTTTTTTTGAGACTGTGAGAAAAGGAACAGAATTGGCAAGTCTGTGGCTTGTTAACAACTGAGAATTTTAAATACTATTATCTAATATAGAGTGCAACTTTTGTACATAGCATATCAAAAGATAAATACTAACTAAGTTGCTATTTCAGGGACATATTTCATGTTACTGATAAAGGGTGTAGTTGGAGGAGTTAGGGATTTAGTGGAAAAGCAAACTGTGCTAAAAAGCACTGACTACTGTAGAAGTGCTTCTGTTTCAGGAAGAGCAGGAAGTTTGTTATCATTTTATAAAACATTTTTCTTTTTTAGGTTCCAAAGTCTGATATTCCTGTAGGATCATCTGCTTCCCCTGAATCTAAAGAGAACATGGTGGATTTTGCACCTCAACTGACGGAAACTAAGGTTAGAAAATGATTTTTCATTTGGTTAGCTAGGTTAAAAAAAATGAAAGTAAATTAATTTTCTGTTTTAACCTCTTTAATGAAGCTAGATTTCAATACAATAGTGTTCCTTTATATTTTTTGCACTGTTGGATTTGTTTCTATGAAAGTTCAACATTTGCTTATATGGAATTAGTGTCCAGATTTGGCCTCTATTCCTGTTTCAGAGTACATAGTAGTTGTTAAAAGCTCCTGGCAATCATGGATGTGACTGTAGATCTAATAGATTCTGTTTTAAATCAATGATCCAACTCTCAATTATGATGTTTAAGGATGAAGAATTTGTACAACTGCCACCAGTTACATCCTCATCACCCATAACACCATCAACACCCATTTCATTACCTAAAGGATCCATCCCTTCTTCAAAAGAAACTGTGAGTATCTAAAAAGAAAATCCTTTCCCTCTAGTTATCTTTAAGGGTAGTGAGAATCCAGAATTATAACTAGTGCAAAATACAGCACAACTTTTCTTTACTTCCAAACAGGATGCTGTAGGCTGAAGTTCAGTCATCTGACAACCACTACATTTTTTACCTCAATTATCCAAAAACGAAAAGAAAAAAAAAAATCAACCAATGCAATTGTGTGTCAAACTAAACATGTTAAGTCTTGAGCCTAATTACAATATAGGCAGGTCCTTATTTTCTTCTGTGCCAGATGGAAATAGTTTCCATATGTTGTGTATCTTACACAGGCCACTGATGTCAGGAAATAACAGCAGGAAAACATTTAAATCTTAGAAGAAATGAGTATAAATAAGAAATTACTTATCTGTCCACTCTTCCCATTTGGGTGAAGGAATTTGGGGCAAGAGCTGAAAGCATGACACAAGTAAACAGTAGGGGGTCATGGGAGAGTTGAACTGTGTAGTGCCTCTGCTGGTTCCTGAAGGACCAAAAATCTGGGAACACACAGATGGGTTCAACACCCAGAAAATGATCCCAAGGAACACAGGGACCTTGTTTGCATGCATTTATTTTTATTACTAAGGTAACTTATAAACTCAGATTTGACTTTGTGGTTTGTTATTATTTGAAGAAAACTAAAAGGGACCCCTAAAGAATTTACATAGTCCCAGGGTGGTGCCAACAGTTAATGAGCTTGGCTGCTAATGGAAACATAGGAGGCATTGGAAGAAAGGCCTGGGGATCTACTTCTGAAAAATCAGCCACTGAAAAGCTGATGCCATGAAGCACAGTTCTACTCTGACATACGTGGGGTCGCCATGAGTCGGAATCAACAGCAATTTTTTTTTTTTTTAAAGAATTTATTCATCTAATTGTGATTAGTACTTAAAGTCCTTATGTTTTAAACCTAGACACTCCAGGCCAACTCACAAAACACATCCCAGAACAGCAAGGCTAGTTCAAAAGGAGCCTAAAGACCACTTGAGGATGAAGCTTACCTCTCTCCAGCTTCCTGCCCAGAGCAGTGGCACATTCACAGAAGACATCCCAGCTTAGACTATCTGTGTCTGGTTTGAGATAGATGATCAGCCATTTAGTCCTTGGGGCAGTCCTTTGAGGCCTTGTCACCATGCAGCAGTAAGACCAAGTTCAGACCATTTAGAGAAATATAGTTGCCAAGTTCATTCTCTCTGTAACACTCTGTCACCCTACTAAACTTTACCAACTATACATGTATAAAGCCAGCCCTCCACCCAGTTGTTTTTGAACAGCTTCATATTTGTGCACATGTCCTTTAAGGGAGGAAAGTTTTTACATAATGGAATCAGCTTGGTGCCTTGGATACCTCTGTCTCCTATGGCTTGGAATCCCGAGTAAGAACCTGGAAACACCAAAAACCATTGTAAGAACAGTTGACTAACCAACTTCTTCAGAGTGATTCATCAGTAGGAACAGTGCCCTGGAAACCAAGTACCTATGAGGCGGATGGATATCCTCTCCAGTAAAGCCTGGATATAGTCTCTGGATATAAAGAAGTTTCTCAGAGGAGAAAATGGAGTTAAACAGACTGGCAATCAAAAAGGTTTTGGCAGCTGGTCGGCTGTTCTGACATCCCCTTCTTGGCCCTGCAGAGGCTGCAGGAATCTGGGAGGCTGCCACTATTCTAGCACATATGGCTTTTATTAGCCACCATTTTGCAAAGAAACATAATTAAGGGTTTAAGGCTTAACCATTTGTTTGTGCTGGGTGTGTATTTTTCTGGTCTGTCTGTCTTTCACAAATAAGGCTAATTGTTAGTCATAGGGGTTGTTAAAGTCTGATATAATCCCTATGCTACCCTGTAACAAGTATTATGCTCAGATATTTATGTTTGGTGTTTTCAGTATTGTCAGTACTTAATATATTAAAACTGCCATGCAGCTGACCAACAGCTTCTTCTCTTGGGAAGAGGTTAGAAGGGAAAAGGTATTCCAGACTGTGGGTGATGAAATCAGACTTCTTGCTGTGAAACTGAGAGCAGTTATATGGGAGTCAGTTAAACCAAGTGAAACGTCAGTCTGCCCTGTCTGGTGAAATCACCTACGTGAAGACTGTCACCTGCACTTCACGGAGCAAATATGCCCTTTACAACATTTCCTAAGTCTCTTCTCCATCAGAGGACAAGCCCCACCATGTACTGCGAGTGAACTCGTTTCTGGAGAGTGATGAATCCCTACTGGGCAAATGCAACATTCCATGGAAGCGTGCCACTGGCCTAGCAAGGTGATTCACAATAAATTTTCCTATTTTCAAAACGATAGGGTGTTGATGTTAATTAATTAGTCCACATTTGAAGGGCTGAATGTGGGAAAGGGATTAGCTAGTGAAGTTGCTCAATCCTGTTTAACTGAATGATTCATATGCGCAGTTGGGCTGTTCTAATAAAATTCTTTGGGCTTTCCCTTTGAGCAGAGTGGGAACGGTTAGGTCAAGAAGCCCCTGGTCACTCTTGGCCTCAGCTGGACTTCACCCTTTTTTGCTACATCTAGGCATTTAAGGGAGTCTCCCAGTGGTGCAAATGGCTAACTCACTCAACTGCTTACCAAAAAGTTGGAAGTTCGAGCCCACACAGAGGCACCTTACAAGAAAGGCCTGGGGATCTACTTCCAAAAAACCAGCCATTGAAAACCCTATGGAGCACAGTTCTACTCTGACACACATGGGGTTGCCATGAGTTGGGATTGACTCAAAGGCCACTGGTACTGGTAGGCATATAAGTCACTTTACATGTATCTCCTCCGACTCTTAGGATAGCAGGTCCGAGAAGGCAGACATTTCCTTGTTACCATCACTTAGGGCATTTGACTGCTGGATCTAGCTCCATGCTGAAACCTAGCTAGTGGTGTTCTGGTAAATGATCAACCATCAGTTCATGAGGTGGTAGGGGAAGCCGGATTTGTTGTGTTTGTGGATTCCAGTGATATATATACTCCCACTGTGGCCAACTTTAAGGGGGCCTGGTGGCACAATAGTTTAGTGCTTGGCTGCTAACTGAAAGGTCAGCGGTTTGAACCCACCAGCCGCTCCGCAGGAGAAAGATGTGGCAGTCTGCTTCCATAAAGATTATGGCCTTGGAAACCCTATGGGGCAGTTCAACTCTGTCCTATAGGGTCACTACGAGTCGGAAATGAGTGGGTTTGGTTTTGGTATGGCCAACTTTAAACTACTAACATGAGGTCACTAACACAGAATTAGGAAGAGGTGGGTACAATATGCTCTTGAGAGCCGGCTCCAGCATACCACTGACCCTAGCCTTCCTGGAGTAACACAAGACAATTAAACCTCTAGTTCACTAAATATATCACTCCTGTGTGCCAAGATACGCATCTAGGAGGCAGTATGGTAACAATGGTCCTGAATACAGTAAGTGCCAACCTAGGAAGACTTGCCCCAGACAGTCACCCTCAACATCTGGGTTCTTGCAGACCTTCCCCGGGCTTGGCTCTCATCAGCTGAGGGAATGGAAAGGTCTGCCAGCTTGCTTAAAATCTTCCTCCTTTCCCTGGTCTCTGCTTCCTACAGACACATATACGTCAGCTCTGCCAGCTGCTGATAAACTCATCAGTTATAATTATCAGGCGTTCTCCAAAACCCACCCTCAGTGATATTAGACTTGGCCTGTGTCTCATACACCGAAGAGAATTCTGCTAGAACAGTGTTGGTGGGGTGGCACTTTACACTTATGGACCTGCATTTATGCTATGTCTAATTCTGCACTTCAGTCATTACCATACTAATCATATTGGTGATGCCAAAAAAATGCAATATAATGCCAAAACCTGAAGCTAAAGATTTCCCATTCACCAATGAACACCTGTAGGTAAGCTCAGACTAACTTTAAAGCAGAATGGCACAATGCCTAATGTGACTGAGCTCTTAGCCAGCTGGCTCCACCCAGTGGTGGCTGATAAACACAGCGACTTCATTATCATCAATAAGACAGAGTTCTCGCACCATGTGATGTTCAGTCTTACTTACCTGAGATCAATACATTACATTAGCAGCACCAAGGGACTGATGATCCCCAGCCTATGGCAATTAGAAAAGACGGAAAGGCAGTATTGATTAATGCTGTGGTGATCCCAGTCCCTAATCTTTTAACCCTCAGGAAACAAGACAGATTCAGCACCTTGACAGCACAATGTCTTCATTAGATAAACTGGATGCTTTTCCTCAAGAGACCCAATCTGTCATCTAAGTAAAATGGCCATTTCATTTTCTCTCAGGTCAATCTCACTATCTGTTATGTGACAGCCAGTTCAGCCTCTGGGGAAATTCGTGGGTGATCTGAGTAGTAACAGCAAGGACACCACTGTTACAATAATAGTGCCTTATATTTCTCCAGCACCTCTCCCCAAGGAACATAAAGCCCCTTATAGATTCTCCACCCGTTCACACAACATAGCTTCAAGGCAGGGCCAAGGCAGAAATTATCATCACTATTTTACAAGGAAAGACACTACTATAAGGTGTCAAAGCAAATGGTTTTAAAAGCTAAAATGCATTGCCTGGCTCTGTTCACCAAATTACGCTTTCTTTAAACATAAATGCAAATCGTAATAGGTTGACAGTTGCATATTTACAGAGAAACAAGGATAAGAGAGAATTTTACAATAGTGACGAACACTGCAGCTGCCCAAAATCACCTAGCTCAGAAAGGAAACTTAAAGCTGCGATCCCACTTTCCCTACAGAAATGAGAGTTTGTTGGCCTTTTTTTATATTCAGCAGTAATCCAGAAACAGTTGTAAAAAGTAAGCTGTAAGCATCGAGGCCGAGTAGTAGTAAGTTGAGCAATCGCATAACTGGGAGCCAGAATCCACTTAGTGAGTACAGTGATAACCAGCAGGTGGCAGAAGTCAATTTCCAAGTAGTCAAAACACAAAAACATTCAAAGAATTTTTTTTCCCCCTTTCCTGCGGGATGGGGTGGAGTTTATACAAGAACTATAGGAAGCCAAGATTTGTGATAGTCCCAACAAATGCCTTCTGGTCACATGGATATAGAAGAGTGGTCTGGGGGAGGCTCACGAACACAGAGTAAGTTAGGAAAAATGAAGCAAGGGGCCTGACATGTAAATCAAGTCTTAGGTGACCAAAGCTTTTTCCCCTTCCCTCACATTGAAGCACAGGCAAAACCACACCGACACAGAGGGGGTAAACACACATCTGGGTTTGAGTTTCTGCAGACCTTGTTGAATAATCCTTAGCTTCCCTCTTAATCATTTGTGCTCTACCCCTTGGCTTTCAAAGATAGGCGCCAGCTCCCTCCCTGACCCCCCACCCCCTACCCTACTCCAACAGTTTCCTGTGAGGAAACAATCTGTCGCTGAGGGCTGCTGCAGCCTTGGCTCTCTGCCCAGCCCCTCTGGTGCATTGACAGGAGGTTCCTGCCCATTGTGCAGATGTCTTGTTTTCCTGCCTTTCCAAAAGGGCTGGAGAGGTAGGAAGTCCGTCCTAGAGGTCTCGGTGCAGGACCTCAGAGGAAGAGTTGGAAGGAAAACACAGGGGCCGTGCAGTGCCCTCTGGATGGACACAGCCCCAGCCCGTCAGTCTCTCTCTTTTCCACTTGGCATTCCCTCCCTTTTCACACAGCCCATATAAAAATGAAGCAGCAGCAATTTTTATTGAGGGACCTAAACTGAAAACAGGTTTAGAACATAATTTAAAAAAATAAAACAGCAAAAATAGCAAAAAATATATGACCTTTTTAAAAACATTTTCCTTTTTTTTTTCTTTGTTTTTAATATATAGCGACTGATGCCTCCCAGCCACCAGGAGCATCTTACCCAATGGGTAAATCTCTGGCAACAACCCTTTTAAAAAGACATGTAAATATATACTCAGATTTATACACTTTGTGTTTTCTTCATAGCTATGTACAAAGCCCCCAGTACGGGGCTGGGCCCCAGGGCCACAACACTGCTCCCAGCCTTTGCCTCACCATCCTCTGGTACCAGCTATTTGGTCAGCAAAGCAAATTAGTATTGGAATTAATAAGCCACTGGCACCATCTATCTGGAGCAGAGGTCACCTTCGGTTGAGGCCCAAAGCACTGACCTCCCTACTGCTGTAGCCCTGAGGACAAGGCACCTGCCACCAGAATGCAAGGGGCTTATGGGTTAAGGTAAAACAGACAAAACCAACACAAGAAAGCTCAGTAAGCTCTCTCTTGCATGCCTTCTCCTCTCCCACTCCCCACCCCTCCAGGCAGTGCTAGGTGGCAGGGAGGGGTCTTGGTCCAACATTTGGGAGGGAATGAAGTGGCCATCAGCAAGTACCTGCCTCTCTGTTCCTCTCAGGTTGAGAGGAAGAGGAGGAAGAGAGGTGAGCTCAGTGCGGTGAAGACAGGCCACACAGGAAGGCCTCAAGTAGGCAGCTGGCTCATGCCAGCAGGGAAGGGAAAAAAGGAAAGGCAGTGAGTCCAGCAGGGAGTGGTGGGTGAGGGTTACAGTTGATGCTGGAGTCTGGGGAGGAGGACAGGTGGGGTGGTAGTCAGCGTCGTTTGAGTCCGCCATTGGCAAGCTGGGCTGGATGTCGGGGCAGACAGGGCTCCTCAGGCAACGGCTCATGAGAGAAGACAGAATCCTCCCCTGAGGAACAGGTAGAGCTTCGGGTGTCAGGGAAGCTGGGAGAGTATTGGTCCAGGGGCATTGACAGGTCCAGATACTCCTGTGACAGTAGAGAGAAAAGAGCAATGGATTAGGCATTCTCCCAGCAACAGTACGTACTCAGAGTTGTACCCAAGGAAAGTGGGAACACTGAAAGGTTAAAAAAGATGACAGATTTGATGATGACCTTGAGGTCTAGGCTGGGACAGCCTTACCTGATTGGAAGTCAAGGCCACAATGCGGTCCAGATCTTCCACCAGCTGCTTGAAGGTAGGTCTTTGAGAGGGTACTGCATGCCAACAGTCCCGCATCATCATATACCTGTGTCGGGATTGTAATGCAGGGGGAGGAAAGATATAAGCAAATAGGTTAAAAAATTTATGGTGGAGAGTTTATGGGAAAAGTGACCAGAAGAGCTGGTACGTTTTATCTACATAATTGTGGCTCTGCCCCACCAAACACCCTTTTTCCTCTACCTGTCAGTCAAACCCGTTCTTCCCCCAGTGTCCTGCCCAAGACCTCAGATACCATCTCATGCTTACAGCTCATTGGTGCAGTTACTGGGCTTGTCCATACGATGACCCTCCTTCAGCAGCTTGAAAAGCTCCTCCACAGGCACACCAGGATATGGGGAGCCGCCCAGAGTGAAGATTTCCCACAGGAGCACCCCAAAGGACCACCTGTGGATGAGCAGAGTCACTGGATCCATAGGCACAGAACTAGACCAGCCCATAGTCTTTTCCATCTGTCCTTCATCAGCAGGTCAGATCCTCATCGTGGGCCTCCCCTCTCTCAACAGAAGTCCTTAATTCCAAGGGGAACATCATGAGACAGTGCTGGAGAAAAGACTGACCTTTCAGCAGCTGGGAGCAAAGTGAATGGATACATAAAAGGTTTTCTTTCGAGGGGGAATGCAGGACTCTATCCTACTGGATACTCTCTATCCCAAGTATCGCTGGCAATTGTTAGTTCAAACTCACACATCACTCTGGTGGGTGTAGATCCGGTCAAACAATGCCTCAGGCGCCATCCACTTCACAGGCAGTCGGCCCTGCAAACAGCACAGGGGAGAATGGAGGTAGGTGGCTTGGGCAGTGGAACAAGGGCCCTGGGAAGGTCAGGGACAAGCAGGGGCACAGGGGGACTGAACTTGGTGAGGGAGGGGGAGGTGTACATTTTCAGCTCATCCTACCACACCATTTCTCAGGTAAATAACCCACGCTGGGTTACAGCAGGGAAATCTAAGTGGGAGAAAGCCTAGTGGAGGAGAGCGCCGGCAGAGGCCGTGAGCACAGTGGTCTTGTCAGCACTCACGTTGGTCGTCTTTTTATAGTAGTCAATGTGGTGAATGTCCCTGGCTAGGCCAAAGTCAGCAATCTTCATCACGTTGTCCTCCGTCACCAGGACATTCCTGGCGGCCAGGTCTCGGTGTATGCACTGTGGAGTGAGGAAGGGAGAGGGGAAAGAGAAGGGTGGTCTGTAGGTGAGGGGCCGTAAGGCTTTAGGGCCTGACAACTGTAAGCATGCACTACCACCCAGTGGTCGGGGTCACCCTCTACTCCAACACTCATTCTGCAGCCGGCAGGCAGACCTACTTCACGGGCCTTCTCCTCCCACACGAGACTCTAGCTCCTGAACATTCTATCTCTCTTCCTCGAACGTCTGCCTCCCCTCAGCCACTTCAAACTCCTCCTGGCTCCTGGCTTCTCAGTTACTTTAGCAAACCCTCTTTATCTGCCTCCTTTCTTTGAGTTGTGCAACCATTCTCACCCTCTTTTTCTGAGTTATTCCTCCCCATTAACATAAACTCACTGCCCCCTAAGTTTCCTATCTAATCTTTCAAGTTGCTGTTATCAATTTGATCCTATATAGACAGATCTTAAAAGAGCACAATGCTCAAGGCAGACATTCCTTTTTTTTAAAATTGTGCTTTAAGTGAAAGTCAGCTCAAGTCAGTTTCTCATACAAAAATTTATGCACACATTGCTATGTGACCCTAGCTGCTCTCCCTATAATGTGACAGCACACTTCTCCTTTCCACCCCAGATTTCCCAAAGGCAGACATTCTTTACAACTTCAGCTCAAGTATTGGGTTCATCCAGTCTCAGTGACTCTAGAAAATCTGGATTCCATGAGAATTTGAAATTCTGTTCTACATTTCCCCCTTTTGATCAGGATTCTTCTATAGAATCTTTGATCAAAATGTTCAGTAATGGTAGTTGGGCGCCATCCAGTTCATCTGGTCTCATGGCAAAGGAGGTAGCTTTTCTTGGAGGCAACTCTTAGCTTTTGGATTCACACTGCACAGGGCTGAACTTTTATGCATATGTTCAGGCTGTATAGCTGAGTATGTGCTCTCAAGTCCTGGCTCCCCGGGCACAGCATAACCACTCCAGGTTGGGGCATAAGCAAGGCCACCTTTTCCTAAGCACCAAAAGCTGTACTTAACACTTTCACAGGCTTGATTTCATTTTATCCCCATAACAATTCTATGGCACAGGTAGTCCTATTCTTATTTTATATTTGAAGAAATGTAAGATGTTAAGTAACTGCCGAAGGTTACACAGAATGTGGCATTGTGCAGATCTGAACCTAATTCAGTCTGACCCCAAGACCACTAGGCTACCCTGGCTCTACTGACTGAGGTTCCCAGAGTACCTAAAGCAGTACATGTAGTTAGTGCTCAAGAAGTCTACAACTTGATCAAAGGATTCAGAGTCATAAGCTAGAGGACTAGGAGAGCTCTGGTCCCACCCTGACTTCATCCAGAGGAGACTTTAGGTTCCACACCTTCTTAGAGGCAAGATACTCCATGCCTCGGGCCACCTGATAGGCACAGGATACCAGGTCCTTGGAGGAGAGCTGCTCCTCTGGGTTGTGGGTGGGGTTGTAACAGTATTCCAGCCCAGGAGGCCTTCGGGCCTGCAGATATTCCCGTAGGTTGCCCTTGGAGGCATATTCCACAATGACGTACAAAGGACCTGGGGAGCACAGGGATGAAGACACTATTAGGGCAGGCAGGCAGGTTTAGCTTCACCTCAAGGAACCTATAACCCCCACTGCACACCATGCATTTGCTCCATAATCCTAACCTCCTTTTTTCTGCTTCCTCTTTTGGGGACCAGGATTCATTTCAGTACGCAAAGAAAGTCAGGAAAATAATTCTGCCCAACACAGTCCAGAAAGTCCCCAAGCAAAGTTGGGGGACCTAATCTGGATACACCACACACCCCTGTTCATATCTACACACTGTGTATGTGAATCTAAATGCCTGTGTTCTCAGATGACACCAAAATGCATCAGCTCAGACCCCAAGAAATACATTCCAACTCCTGCTAAACCAGCCTTTCTTCTTAACCCCTTTCCCTAAGTATAGCTAAGGGATGCCTCATCACTGATATCCCCAGGTGGGAGCACCCCCAAACTTCCTCAGAATCTTCTTCCAGACAGGCCCTATTATTTGAACATGAGGCCCAGGTTTCTGTCTCAGACCCTACCCCAGACAGGGTGGGAAAATTAGCCCAGCTTGGCCCATACCATCTTGTGTGCAGGCCCCCAGCAGGTTGATGATATTCTTGTGTTTCCCGATCATCTTCATCATCTCCATTTCTGAGATCAGGTCTGAAAGGTCTTTCTCTGTTGCATCCGCTTTACACACAAACCAGAGAAGGGGATGAGACTCATTCACTTTGGAAGGGAGGAAGCCAGTAGAAAAGCCAAAGGAGAGGGGAGAGGGCATATGCCCGAAGAGTCCCTTTTCACTGGGACTTGCTTCTCTCCTCCCTACATCCCATCCAACTTCATTTTCCCTTTCCTCTTATGGGAGCAGCTGTTGCAATATGTGGCAATGAGTGGGGCAGAGAATATGGTGAGAAAAATCAGCCAGTAATGGGACCTAGAATAAACACCTGACCACAACCCAAGTTGACACCAACTTGGTAAGACTATGGCAATCTCAGAGTGCAGAATGCCCCCTCCATCCGCAGGTATTCCTAAATAGGCAGTGTAGCAGGTGTGTGCAATGAAAGAACACTAGACAGGGTCTTCTTCTTGGCCTGAGGCCCACAATTTGCTTAGAAAGGGAAGGGATTGTTTTTGTAAGGTCAGAAACATCACTTACACTTCAACATCTTCACAGCCACTTTGGTGACACGGTTGGGTTTGTCCTTGTCCAGCCCAATGGCCTCAGCCAACACCACCTGCCCAAAGCAGCCCTCTCCCAGGGGTTTGCCTAGAACCAGTCTTTTGGGGAAACGAAAAGTGACATAAGTTGAGGCTGGCACAATTCAGTCCTTTAGAGGACATTCCATCTCCACCTCTCCATATTTCACCCAACTTGAGAATACAAAGTGGGAATTATTATTTCTGGAGATGCCTGCTGTACCTTCACTCCTTAAAAGGTCGTACTACACACAACTTCCACAGTTAGAATAACTATAAAGGGATTTTCTCAAATAAGTCGGCATTACAGCATTACCTGTCTCGAGGCAGCTCCCAGCGAGGGTCTTCAGGAAGCTCATATTCGGAGACGCCAGCCAGCATGGGGGTTCCACTGGAGGAGAGACGCGAGGGCCGAACCAGCAGAACCCCAGAGTTCATGGATGCACTAGAGTCAGCTGACACCTACAGGAGAGAGTGGGGTCACTCTTCTAGCAGGGAGAGGGGAGAAAGTGGCAGCACATTCTTTCCAATTCCTGGTAGGGGCTTTCCACCAATGGCAGAGGTATTTTTCTGTGTATTGGCCATTTCTTTCCCAACATGGAGTAGTAGGTAAAAGGACCTAAGGTCAGAAGACTTAAGTTCTAGGACTGACTTATTTCTGCCACCAACTAGCCTTTCTGGGCCTCAGTTTACTCACCTTTAAAATGAACAGACTAAATGATCGCTGAGTATCTTTTCCAGCTTGGCATTTTATAACCTATTCCAATAACTCTAGTCTTGTCCTGATTCTTTGCAAAAACCCTGCCTCGGATTATGGATTCCTAACTCCCAAAGCACCTTCCAGAATCAGCAGTGTTCTGAGTGAGGGTTCAATTCTTTCCAAGGCTTTCACCTGCTGTATCATTTCCTTCAGTGAGGAGAGGGTGGGCACAAGGAGAAAAAGGGTATCTTAGGACCCGACTCAGGTCCTCTCCTCTGTCTACATCTTTGCACCTCTCACCAGCCCTGAGGGACAGTTCAAATACATGCTATCAGTTCAGTCCAGAAGGGGCTTTCTTCCAGTCCCTGTGCCAGGTGAGCAGGGGACTTACAGCTGCGGTGTGGTGAGAGCAGAGAACTCAGGGGCTAGAACAGCTTTAAATCTGACTCTGGAACACTTAGCTCAGGAAGGTCCCCCGACAAGGGCCCAGAGGCCAGAAAGCAAAGCCCAAAGTGGTAGGCTAGGGTCAGCGGGGAGGACAGGGAGCTAGAGGGCCCTAGAGAAGCCCCTGGAGGAGGCCCAGGGGAGAAGGTGATGCAGAGCGTGCAAATCCCCCATCTACTTTCTGTTACCTGTCTGCGCAGCGGGATGCTCTTGGCCAGCTTGTGCACGGCCATCTGGCTGTGGAAGTCACTCTTCTTGGTGCCACTCTTCATCTTGTAGATGATGACAGACCCCACCATGCAGGAGATGAGGAAGGCCCCCGTACAATAGATGATGATCTCCAGGTACAGGGGTGAGGTCATCACTGCCGGTCTCTCCTCCAAGGCTGAGTCAGTGTGAACAGAGTGTCAGCAGGTTCTGGGGACCCGGGCTACTAGGGCCCTAGCTCCATAAGAAAAGCAACACCCACTGAATCCTTTCCCTGGGAATTTTCAGGGCAGAATCAAGCCAGGTCCTAGCTAGGATTGAGATTCTGGTGCTGAGAGGATCAGACATCCTGTGATCTTTAAGACTTCCTTATTCTGACTCAAACTCAGCAGGAGGGATGAATTAGACACAAGTCCCATCCTCATTAATTCAGGAGCCCTCCTTGCTCAGCTGGACTGCTAGGCTTGACAGGTACCAGGTACCCTGCAAGGGAGAACTGAGGCTTCACTTGAGAGCCTCTCTGTCTCCTGATGGAAAGATATCCCTTCTGCACACAGCCTCAGCATTGTGTATGAACACCTATTGCATGGGGATAGACGGTTTATGAGTCTTCTGTCCCTGATGGCCTGTGAGTTCCTTGAGGGGAGGGATGGCACCTGGTTATGTCTATATGCCACAGCACCTGGTATACAGTGGCACTCACAGAATGAAAACAAATGGAGGGCAACCGTCTGTCCTAACTTTCCCACCTTCCATCCATCATCTCTAAGGTCAGACAGGTAAATATTTATACCTATCCAAACCACAAGCAAAACCTATTTAACTTCCAAATATGTTTGGACTACTCTAAATGAAAAAAATAACCTTTTCTGTAGTTCTTAAGAATTATACTCACAGGGCCTAACTCTTAAAATTTTTAAGAATTTAATGGGGGTGGAGATGAGGTTTTAACTCCTAAAACTTAGGAAGGAAATGTGTGTGTTGGGGAGGGGGGTATGGGGCTTGTTTTATTCTCTTCTCTCACCTCCTATTTTGAATTCATCCCCATTCCCACCAGAAGCCAACTCAGTTCAATCCATTTTTCCCTTCAACATGAGATGGCTGGGAACGTTCACATCTCAGCACACACAGTGACCGGCTTCTTCACAGAACATTGCTTGCCCCACCATGTGAATGCCCCTCTGCCCTCCACACATCTCCTCCCACTCCTCCCCTTTCAAACATATCAGCCAGCCACAGAGGCAGGCACCCCTGGGAACCTTCCCTGAGAGGCACAAGGGACGACCCCAGACTGAGCCTGGAAGAGAACTTCCCACAGCCTGACAAGGAGACAGCAGAGCTGATAACTGGGAGAAGTGTTTCTGTTTTTTTGTTTCTTTCCCCAATGTCGAGAAACAAAGAAAACGGGTTGGGAGTACATGGGAAGCACAGACAGGACAAGGACAATGACAATGGCAAAAACAGAACTCTTCTCTGCCTCAAGTAGGGGCATTATCAGACCCTGTCAGGCAAGCAAGGCAGAGGTGGGGAGACAGAGGGGAAGAGAAAAGAGGGCGGTGTCAGCAGTAACAAGAACAGAACAGCACCCAGATCCACATGCAGGATGCTCAGAGGCAGCACCAACCAGCTCTAACCCCGCAGTCACCATCCCACCACCCTGAGCAGGCCGTAGGCTCCTTCGTTCCCGGTCCAACACGCACACCTTCCCCCTTGGCAGAGCAGGAACATAAGTTGTCAAAGGATAAATGGGGCATCATGAAGCCCTTTGCCACTGCCCTGAGGCTGGCTTTGTTTACGGCAGCGGAGGCTCACCTGTCTAGGTAGAACCTCTCCTCCTCCAAAATCAGAGGACAACAGTGTGGAAGGGTGGGCTAGGGCTGTTCCTTGCAAGCAGCAAGCCTCTCTTACTGAGTGTCTATATTCAGTCAGAGAAGGAGTGTGGTCTTTTATAAGATTCTTGGGGCTGGCAAAAAGGATCAGACAATTCACTCAGCCCTCAGTACCAAGCAGATGAGGGAAGGCTGCTGGACCCCAGGATGGAAGGAGGCTGCCTGGAGGAGAGCCAGCTGCGGGTTAAATCCAGATCCCATGCATGCATTGCATTAGCCAGGGGAGAGCCAGATGCAGGTATACAGGCGGGAGGCCTACATGTTCCGCAAAACTAGGAAAGCTCCTGTGTTGGTCGGGAGGATTCTACCCTCAAGGTTGGACAAAATGATGGAGCAGGACAGGGCACATGGCAGGCAGGGAACTGCCTGCTGGCCCATGAGACCCATTCCTCTACCTCCCCCGGCTCTGTGTCTCCCCTCGCCCTGCAATGCATGCTCCCCCCGTGCCCGTGGCAAGGGCAGGACATCGAGAGGAGAGGTACAGTGTATACCTTCCAGAACGGTCAACCATGCAGAGTGATGGGAGAGTCCGATAGAGTTACCCGCCAAGCACGTATACTCCCCAGCGTCCTCAAAGGAGACATTCCTTAAATGAAGCACTTCCATCTCTTTGTCGGTGGTATTAACTCCGGCCGTCTAGAAGAGACAACGGAAGCAAAATGGACAAGCACAGGACATGAGACCTCTAAGAGACACAGAGAAAGGGAGTGAGAAAGAGAAGGGGAAGAAATCAGAGGAAGACACATTCCCCAGCGTCTCCTTTGCAAAAACGAACAAACAAAAACCACCAGGCAGCGCGACCTGTTAGAGGAAGAGAGTGAGACCCTGAGGGAGGAACTCCGGCAGACCTGAGAAGTTGATGGCTGGTTACGACCCTTCACCACCAGACGCTGCAGCCCCTGGCCCATCTAAGCATGCGGGCAGTGGGCAGCATGGAGAAATGGGGACCAGCAGGCGGGCGGCTGTTTGGTTTTAGGTAAAGAGAATCAGAGGGCACACACAGGAGGGATGGGAGGGGGCTACAGCCACACACACACACACACACAGCCACACACATAGCCACACCCACACCCACACAGCCACACACAGACACACACACGGAACACCTGCTTCCTTTCTCTTGTCCACATTCAACCACACACACACACACACACACACACACACGGAACGCCTGCTTCCTTTCTCTTGTCCACCATTCATCCACACACACACACACACACACACACACGGAACGCCTGCTTCCTTTCTCTTGTCCACCATTCAACCCTGCAAGACTGTGCACCCACGAGCATGCATATACGCACACACACAGCCAAGGAACACACATAAGGCACAGAGGGAGCCAGCAGAAACCAAAAGAGTACCAAACCAAACCAGCCTCCCAGGCCAGGCATTTTTCCATGGCTCTAGGCACTAAAGATACAGTAGGCTAACAGGGAGAGTTCGGCGTGGCTTCCCCACCTGCCCTGGCAGCCGGGGGCTAAATCAAATTCCCAGCACAGGGCCCCGTCCATCTCCCCATTACCTTTTGCCACTGGTCTGGTGACAGTGAGCCACGCAGACTGGTTAGCTTCACCAATATAATTGGAAACCTTACACACATATTCCCCGCTCTGGGCCTCTGTCACATTGAACAGGGTCAGCACCTCCGCATCCGAGCTATTAATCCCCGAATGCTGGAACAAACCAATGACACACAGTCAATTGGGCAAACACTGGAATGTGGCCATACTCTGCGCTTCCATGTAACTTTAAGGCAGGCCCAGGGAGGCTTCAATTTAAGTGTAAGGAAGGGAGATGTTCAGTGAGATTTGGCATCTTTTCCTTTTTAGTAGGACAATACAAGTTCACTTCAAAGGTCCAAAACATTTGACTGAAAAATAACTTAAAAAAAAAAGCACTACCCCAGATCAAATGTTCTGTTAGTAACGTTCTGTGAGTGTGTTGTACCCACTCCTCTGGGGCTAGGGCAGGCGTTCTGACTGCAGAGCATGGCCACCGCCCAAGGCCACAGCCCCACTTGCTACTGAGCAGTTTCAGCACCAGCAGCGGAGAGAAGGGATGGCCCGTAAATCTTGGGGACAGCCAGGCCAGGGGAGGATGAGGTCTACCTCTGAGACAAGGAGGTAAACAACTTTCCCAGCTCCTGGTTACTTCCTGTCACAAGAGCCACTGGAGATTTAGGCAATTACCTTCCCTGGATTAATGGAGCATTCAGGGACAATGAGAGTCTGGGAGTGAGAGGAAAAAGGAAGAGAATCCCATTACTCTTGACACTGCTTAGAATTTATATGTGGCATCTGCTTTTCCAGCTCTACCTAACTATGCCTTTATCATGCATCCCACCTGCCAGAAAGAACATAATTCGGGAAGCAGGGCAGAGACTACGAAAAGTGTGCTGGAAAGGCCTTGATCCTCGGCAACAAAAAGGCTGGAGCCCAGATGTTTTCCTGGAGTGGTTGACCCAAACACCCCAGCAAAGTCACTCTCAAAGCTCCTTAGGAACCAGCATTGCACTGTCCACTGCCCCACTCCTCTGTTCCCATCTCACTTCCACTTTGTGGTCTCGTCACTAGTCCGGGGAGTGTGGCCAGGCCCCTGTGAAGACGGAGTGTGCCTGAAGGGTAAGGGATGCATTCCCATTGCAGGCACTGAGCCTGACCCCAGGGCTTGAGCCCTCCATCCCAGAAGACTGGTGCATAGAGACTGAGACCAAGATTACCTTTAAGATCTGGACATAAGGCAGGTTGTCTGGACCAATCTTACTCCCATTCACCTCGATGTGCTTTAGCCACTGGATGTGGGGCTGTGGGTCACTGTACACCTTACACATGAACTCCACATTGCTGCCCAGGGCCACTGTCTTGTTGGCAGGCAACCCGGCCTGCAGGATGGGCCGGTGAGGGGACCGTTCTGTGGAGAAAGGGAGAGGAGAAGCTCATCAGACCCTGCCGTGGCCTGGCCTTGGCTGGGAAACAAAGACACCAAAGGGAAGTACTTCCACACCCTGGCTCATCCGACTTCCCCAGGATGGGCAGTGCACTTCCCAGCACCCCTGCTGAGCCCTGGCCCCAAGAACCTGAGCTGAGAGAAGGGACAGATCTTCACCGGGCCTCCCTCTCCCCAGGCCCTGAGCAGCTATCAGGAACCTCCTCCCCAAGGCAGTGCATCCATTTACAGGAATGAGAAGTCTGTCTTGCCTTAATGGAGATCCCTATAACTCAGCCATGCTGCCTGCCCCAGCACGGCCTACCTCTTAACTAAAATTAGAGTCACTTAGACTTTAGCTATTCAAAGTGTGGTCCAAGAGCACCAGTACTGCCCAAGGAGCTCATTAGAAATGCAAAATCTCAGGTCCCACCCCAGATCTAATGGACCAGAATCTTTTTTTTTTTTTTAAACCACATAAAACCAAGACAGAATGTTCATTGTGAAATTCTTTACTTTAAAACCTCCAGGTAATGAGAATCAGAAGCGCTAGAAGGAATAGGCTACAGTACTATCACTTAGAAGCATGATGTTCTTCCCAGTGTCTCCTGTGATGCCTTGGGGTCAGCACAGGCTTGGAGTTCTGCATAAGAAGTGTCTGACCTCTCTGAGCTTTGGTTTGCTCTTCCATATAGTTGGGATAATAATGTCTACGTTGCAAGAGTGCCATGAGAATTGCCTATTGCTGGAATTCACTAAGAAATGGCTATTCTGCTAAATTTTCTTCACTATTCCAGTTATCTTTCAGGAGAGAATATCAACAGTGCCTTCCATTTTACAGTGTACAAACAGCTTGGAGACATATTACCATCTGATCCTCATGACTCAACTCTATTTTACAGAAAAGAAGCCAGTGGCCATCAAGTTGACTCTGACTCATGGTGACCCCATGTATGTCAGAGTAGAACTGTGCTCCATGGGGTTTTCAATGGCTGATTTTTCAGAAGTAGATCGCCAGGCTTTTCTCCTGGGGTGCCCCTGTTGGACTTGAACTCCCAACCTTCTGGTTAGCAGCCAAGCGTTAACTGTTTGCACCATCCAGGGACTCCTACAGAAAAGTGATGCTCAAAAGGGTGAAGTGGCCTACTCAAGATAACAAAACTAATAAGTGCCATGACGTTATCCCTAAGTAAACCCGGAAGCCATGGCTGTTTCTAAACACCCCTGTGCTCTCTTTCCTCTAAGCTCTTTACTCCTGTGGCCTTCGCGTTCTTACCCACAACGTCGAGCTGGTAGGTGTGGTTAATGCTGCCATACTCGTTCTCCACAATGCAGGTGTAGTTGCCTTTATCAGAGGGCACCACGGAATCCATTATGATGCTCCAGGTGGCATAACGGACCTGAGGGGGGGAAGTGCCCAGAGCTCCATTAAGGGTCTGAAGGAAAATGGAGGTAGAACCCACGTGGTGTTATCGGCACCCTGGGGCATTTACCCTTCCAAATCCAAACACAGTAGAATATGACCCCAAGTTTCAGAAAGTTAGCCAAAACAAGGCACAGTGAGTTCTACTCTCAACCCATTTACAATCAGAAAGAACACATCAGATGCACTGACACAACTCGAAGTTTTCACCATGGCATTCCAGGTCACCCATGACCTGGACACAACATGCCTTTTACAAACTCTCCCAAATACACCAGGAAATTTCCCAACTCTGTATTTCTGTACCTGGAATGACTCTTGCCAAGATTCTGGTCCTGTCTGCCCTTGAAATCTCATTCAAAAACCATCTCCTCCAGTCCAATCTCTGGTCAGAATCGTTCTTGTCTTTCCCTCTGTACCTCTGACGTCCTATCTGTATCTCTACTGAAGAATTTATCACAGTCTGCTTTTTATGAGAGTTGCACATGTACACATCTGCCCTCCTGTTAGACTAGAAATTCTTTATGGCCAGCAACACTGTCTTGTACCAACCATAGCACAGTGCCCCACAGTCACCTTTCAGGGGAGATTATCAACAGTACCTTCCATTTTACAGTGTACAAATAGCTTTGAGACCTATTACCATCTGATCCTCATAACTCAACTCTGTTTTACGGAAAAGAAACCAGTGGCCAAAACAGCATTAATTTAAAATGTGTCCCTATTCTTTTCTGATGTCTCCTGTTCTTCTTGCACACGATTATTGAGAAAAGAGCTAGGTGAGATGAGAAAGAAACAAGACTATAAGGATAATTAGAGACTCCAAAGAAGGGATTGCAGTGAAAATGTTCTTCCTACAAATATAAATGGGCAAAACACATGGACAGACAATTTACACTCAGGAAATGAAAATGGCTTGTTAATATATGAACATTTTAGCTTCATTAATAAGCAAAGGAGCCCTGGTGGTGCAGGGGTTAAGTGCTCGGCTGCTAACCAAAAGGTTGGCAGTTCGAACCCACCAGCCACTCTGCAGGAGAAAGATGTAGCAGTCTGCTTCTGTAAAGATTTACTGCCTTGGAAACCCTATGGGGCAGTTTTACCCTGTCCTATAGGGTCGCTATGAGTCGGAATCGACTTCAACAGCAACAGGTCTGGGTTTGTTTGTTTGTTTAATAAGCCAAATAATGCACAAAAAAGCAATGAGATACTTTCATCTATAAAATTTGCTAGCAAAGGTATAGTGAATGTGTCATTCTCATACTCTGCTCTGGGAGAGTGAATTAACTTTCCTTTCAGGGAATTCATTGGGTAATATGCATCAAGGGCTTCAAAAATGCTTATCCACTTAATCTAGTAATGTCACCTCTAGCAATCTGTCCTAAGAAAAAACATTTGAAAATGCTGACAAGGATGTTAGTACAAAGATAGTCACTGCGACATTATTCATGACAGTGAAAAACCAGAAAATAGCTAAGATCGTAAAATTGTTAATTCAATTCTGGGATAGCTTTACAACGGAATGTTATGCAGCCATGAAAAGTTATCTCTCAGATACACGGCAAAAGACTCATGTTATAATGTTAACAAATGACAAGAATTATATGCACAATGTGATTAACGATGTAAAAACCATATACGTAGTAAAAAGGATTTTTTGTATTAAAAAAAATTTATATTTAAAATTTTTCTAAAATGTATCACTTTTACAGCCAGCAAACATTATTTGAAACAACTAAAGGTATACATTAAGGATGTTCTAACTTAGCTTCTCCTGTTCCTCTTATTCTAACTTTTATACATACACACGTACCTTATAGCCTCCAATCCTGTGGTCAGGTTTGAACTCTTTGCCATTTTTCAACCAGCGCAGCGTGGGGTTAGGGGTCCCACTGGAAGGGCATTTGAACTTCACTGTCTTGGCGGCTGGCACTGCATGCAATTTCTTTTCCATCTTTTCTGGGGAAGTCCAGTATGGAGCCACGGCTGTCCGGGGGGAAAAGCCAAGAGACAGGCAGAGGAGGGTGGTCATGCTCCAGAGCCAGGATCCAGGCCAGGACCTGGAAGTGCCCCGCCCACCTGCCCAACACCTGTGCCCAGTGCCCGTAACATCCAGAGAGACTGCGTAGTCAAGCAACGTGAGCACCATCACTCTCCTCCTCTGTTCTCCAACCAACGTGTAAGCCTCCCCTTCCCTCTCAAACCCCACACCCAGGCCCGGAGGGCAGTAAGGTAGGAAACAGTGTCTCACGCATACGGTTTGGTTTGGTGTTATCCGTCTCTTTCTCCTCCGACGAGGAGTCATCGTCATCATCGTCATCCTCCGAGGAGGGGAGAGCATCTACGGGAAGAAGATGGGGGCGCCGATGTGTCTCCAAGGGAAAAAGGGCTCTCTAGATTTCCATCCATATCAACAACCACCCTATAAAGTCCAGTCCAGTTACGAATGAACAGACGACCCTCCCCTTCCTGACCCCCAGTCCCACTTTTCCCTTAGTGACTGTCTCCGGGTGGGACAGAAACTATTTTTTTAAGAACTGCAAGTTCCTCTGCTTGTCTCCATCCCTATCCCTCTCCTACTCCATGCACTGTCCCTCTCTGCCCAGAAGCCTTTCCACTGCTCAGTTTCATCAGGGTCAGCTGTTCCTGGGTAATTTCATTCCACTCTGGATTCAGGGCTTCTCTCCCAATTCATCGTACCACCTGGATGCTCGGGGTCTCATAACTAGAAGCCAGGCAATCTGTATCTTTCTTTGACCTGCCAACCACTGGGTAACCCAGGCAGAATTTTTCTAGCATGTACTTGTTGAAGTTTAGGAGCTGCTCTTCTTTCCCAGAGCAGACAGGGAGCCTACCACACAGTCTGCAGCTGCCAACACCTCTTCCCAACAAGCATCCACCACCCCTTTTAAAAAATGGAAAGCCAGAAAGAGGCTCGACACACACTGTGGTCAACAACGAGGGTTTATGCCAGATCTTTCTCCAGCCCTTGCTAGTGCTTTGGGGGGTTGGGAGGGAAATAAAGAAAGCATGTCCCTAAGTTGGGCCGGTTCTACATAATGCCTTAGGGAAGGAGATGCCAAGCCCACACCCCTGAGATGCACAAATGACATGGAGAAAATTTCAGGTCTACTTTTGTTTAATCCTACATTTGTGAAAACCTAACTCCTGCAACTACAAGTGGCAGATTCCCAAAGTCCCAGGGCTCCAGGGTTCCCTGGCTTCCCTGACAGCTCCAGAAGCTATAGGACAGACATCTCGCATCAAGCTTGTGGATATGGTGGTGCACCTGGATCCTTCCTCATTACAGTAGGGACCTCACCACATGTTCTGGGACTCAAATCACTAAGCCGAGTACCAAGTCCAAATGACAAGGGAATGATAGAATGGGAGCTGGCTGAGCCCCTCTCAGCAACCTGGAGACCTGGGCAGGCTGTGGTAGAGAAATTACCAGGGTCTTCATGCTCCCAAGAGCATTAGCAATCACCTCCGAGACAGACCTTGGCAGCCCCAGATCTCTGCACTGGGGCCTGAACCACTGGGTCACCCCTCTGAGAGCTAAGCCACGCGGCGGGCAGGGAGCAATGTTAGTGGGCAGCAGCTTCTGAAGCAGAGTGGGGGCAGCTCATGGAGGGGAGGAGGTACACCTCGCCCTGAAACTAGCAGAAAGGGCTCAAGGGGTGGAGGGAGAGGATGAGGGCAGGGCTTTGCTACCAACCTGAGACATTGACGGAGAAGTAGGTGGTGTCGCTGCCAGAGGGGCTGCTGGTCACGCAAGCGTAGAGGCCAGAGTCGGCAGGCACGGAATCCCGCACCTCCACCTCCTCCCCCGTGATGCGGGTACGGTTGCTTTCCACCAGCTGTACCCCGTCCCGCAGCCAGTTGATGCTCTGTACATCGTCCTGCAGCCGACAGCGAAGCTGCAGTAGGTCACCAGGGTGGACCAGGAAGGACTCCACTTCCACAGGGGCTCCCCAGGGCTGAGCTGCAGCCACCCACAGGGGCCAGGAAGAGGAACCAAAGGAGGGAGAGGGAGGCAGGGAGAAGGAAGGAGGAGAGAGACAAAGGGAATTACACTAGCCACACTGAGCTGCAATGTCCCAACGCCGTTCACTGGGGGCTACAGAGCTGGAGGTGGGAACTGGAATATGGGTCAGTTGGGAAATGGCCGGCTGCCTGGGAACCCGCATCTCTTCTTCTCCACCCCACCCCTCCAAAGGTCAAAGGAAGGAAGAGGCAAAAGTTAGGAAGCAGCTGCAGCAGCATTAAGCAGTTCACATTTCTTCTCCCTAGGTCTATGCGGGCAAGGTTGGACCCCCCGAGGACATCTTCGGGTCTAAGTTGCCCCTTCCCCACACACTCGGTGCTCTGTGAAGAATGGCCACTTCCCAGAGAACACCTTGTTTTCCTCTGGCTAGGTCAGCCACATACCTTGCCCTAGTAACCGCTGAACAAACCCTGCCCCTCTAAAATCCAACAGCCCCCATCCAAGTGGAGAGAAGGCAACTTGTCAACCAGGGGCTCTGAGCTCAAGATTCAGTGAGGGTGGGGGTCTGGCCCCCAACAAGTCAGATGCACATGTGGGAGAGACAGCCCAAGGAGAGGTCAGCTCAGGGGAACCTCCAGCTAACAGGTGTCAGGCCAGAGGATTCAGGGCTTTTGACTATATTAGGAACGTAGGCCTGCAGCTGCCACAAAACCCACACTTGCTCTGGCAGCATAAGCTGCTGCACACAAAGCTCCTTTCTACTCAACTCACCCCACTGCCCACTGCCCAGGCTCACCCTCTCACCCCCACCCCCCCATCAACCTGTCACACACATCACATAGACTACTCCCTCACCCACCACAGCACTGCTGGGCCAGCCCCAGGTCATCCATGGCTCACAAGATCTGCCCAGGAGCCTCCACCAGAAGCGGCTACCCCTTTCAGACACCCACCCCTCTCATGACCAGCGACTCCTCCCCCATGCTAACAAGACACACCTAAGAGTTCACCGTCCTGGGCTGTTACATGTCTCTTGAAAGCCCCCTCTCTTCACTAACAAGGGGTGCATCAGTTTCCATCTCTTTTTCGGGCATCCACATGTGCTCCTGGCACCTTCAGCCAACTGTCCACCTCCCACCCAAAGAACAAACATGGCACCACTCACATCGACCGCCTGACTGTCTCTACTGCCTTGGAGAGGCCTTAGTTCTCACCATGGGTTCACTAGCTCATATGGAGCTACCTGCCAGGTTCCTGAAGCACCAGGCTCTGAGACACATGCTCCCACTCACCCTCAGCTCTGACTCACAGCTGCTCCTTCCACCTGCAGGGCCCATGCTTGTCTTTGGCTGACTGTCTCCACTCCTGCTCCACTCCTCAGTCTGGCTGGTAACTCCTCCTGGAAGCCTTTTCTAGCTCCTGTCAGGGTTAGGTGGCCTGCCACTGCACTTATCACAGTAAAGGATAGCCCCCATCAGTGTACCCAGTTCAGAGGGCTGAGGCATGTCCTATCACCCGTCACATTCCCAGCACCAAGCACAACGCCTGGCACACAAATGTTTGCTAAATAAATGGCACATGCACCGTCATGCCATTTCTTCATTGTCTTCTTTTCTAAACTCCCTTTTCTCCTTTGCCACCCTCAGTTTAATGAATGTCTTTCTGAAGTGCTAAACAGGTTTCAGCCAGAAACATTACAAATGAAAAAGAAAAAGAAAAAGAGTGTCCCGAGCATCAGTGCGCACTAGGGACTAATGGTGGTTTTCCTTTGAGGGACTTTGGGGGCCATGAGGAGTGGGCATGGCTGAGCGGCCAAGGCCACAGGCCACAGGCCACAGGCCCTGGCCCACTTCAACCCAAGGGCTCTATCTTACATATTAAATATTGGGCCATCAAAAAGTGGGTGCTGCTTTAAAAGAGTTTGGAAGCCTCTTGGCAAGCACAGGTTTATTTTTGTGAATCCAGTCAGGGGGAATGCCACAAAGGTGAACAGACCACTCAACTGATTAAAAATAAGCTTTTGTGGGTCTTAAAAAAGTTATTCTTTCCATTTTTAATGGTCTGTGGTTTTGTCAAAAGAAGGCAGAAGAGAAGTGGTTCAGACTCAACCCTTAAGGAAAACAGCAGTCACTCCTATTGATCAAATCTCATTTCCCTCAAATGACCTCACTAATTAAATATTTTGCAGCTCGTGATCTGTACCAGCCGTTGGTCAAATAGTAAACTCAAATTCTTGGTCTCTAGCATCACACAGCCTACTTCAACAGGTCCCAGAGACAAAAAATACCTCCCAAAGACAAAGAAGTAGCAAGGTAAACACCCTTCCCCAAGGGAAGACAGCACAGCGACCTGGCCCGGTTGCGACTCTTGTTGGCTAACTTGGATCTTGCCCATCCCAGCCAGAACTTGGAAGCAAAACTCTTCTACGTGGTGACTGAATTGTATGTGCAGAAACTGTCGAATGGGTACACGTTCTGCTCTTTGTATTTTCACAAAAATAAAACAAACATTTAAAAAAAAACAAAAACTTTTCTATATGATCTATAAAAAGCCTCAAGACTCAGCTTTCTTTTCTCCCAAAACAATCATTTAGACAGACCCCAGTTCGCTTCCAAATGTATCTCAGGTTTGCCTCATCCTCCCTGTCTTAGTCATCTAGTGCTGCTATAACAGAAACACCACAAGTGGATGGCTTCAACAAAGAGAAATTTATTTTCTCACAGTCTAGGAGGCTAAAAGTACAAATTTTGGGCGTCAGCTCCAGGGGAAGACTTTCTCTTTCTGTCTGCTCTGGAGGAAGGTCCTTGTCATCAATCTTCCCCTGGACTAGGAGCTTCTCAGCACAGGGACCCTGGGTTCCAAGGACATGCTCTGCTCCTGGCACTACTTTCTTGGTGGTATGAGGTCCCCGTCTCTCTGCTTGCTTCTCTCTTTTCTATCTCAAAAGAGATTGACTTAAAACACAATCTAATCTTGTAGATTGAGTCCTGCCTCATTAACATAACTGCCATTAATCCCACCTCATTAACATCAAGGAGGTAGGATTTACAACACATAGGACAATCACATCAGATGACAAAATGGTGGACAATCACACAATACTGGGAATCATGGCCTAGCCAAACTGACACACATTTTGGGGGGATACAATTCAACCCATAACATTTCCCGTTTCCAATATTACCTTAGGATAGCCTCCTAAGTGGTCTCCCTGCCACTGGAGTTCAAACTCAGCCTGATCTCACACCCTTCGTGTACTTTTTCACATTATTCTCCCGATTGAGATCCTATGCTGAGATCCACATCCCCATTAGGCTCTCCACATCTGCTCCCTCCTCCATCCAAACTTCTCCCTACCAGAAGCCGCCTACTCCGGTCTGGCAGTTCTCCTCACTGTGTCCTGCCTCCACACAACAAAAGCTAACTTCTGCTGAAGACTGCCAGCCATCTCTCTAAAGTCCCCCACCCCAGACTACTCGAAGTAGCAGGATACATCAAAGATTCCAGAGAGCCTTCTCTTTACACTGGCGTCTCTACCCTAATTCTCTATAAAACAGTTACTGTCTGAACCACACAAATTTGCAATCAATTACATACCATCTTGTATTCTTTTTTAAAATGTCTTTAATGAGATAATTCATATACCATAAAATTCATCCATTTAAAGTGTAGAATTGAATGGTTTTTAGTGTATTCAAAGTTGTACATCACCACAATCTAACTTCAGAACATTTTCATCACCCCAAAAAGAAACTCGGTACCCTTTAGCCTTTACTCTCCAAATCCCCAATCCTCCTAGCCTAGGCAACCTCTAATTTACCTTCTATTTCTATGAATTTGCCTATTATGGACGTTTCATATAAATGGAATAATACGATATGTGGTCTTTTGTGACTGGCTTCTAACACATAGCACAATGTTTCTAAGGGTTGTCTATGTTGTAGCATGTATCAGTACTTCATTCCTTTATACTGCCAAATAATATTCCACTGTATGGATATGCCACATTTGGTTCATCCATTCATCAGCTGAGGGACATTTGGGTGTACTGTTATTTAACTATTAAAAGAGTCCATGCCCTTACAATGAGATACCATCTTACCCCAGCTAAAATGGCACTGATAGAAAAAACAAATAACAAATGTTGGCGAGGATGTGGGGAGATTAGAACCCTTATCAATTGCTAGTGGGACTGTAGAATGGTATAACCACTATGGAAAGTGGTATGGTGCTTTCTCAAAAAAACTAGAAATAGAACTATGCTATGATCCAACAATCCCACTCCTCGCGATATACTCCAGACACCTAAAAATAATGACATGAACAGACAGATACACACCTATGTTCATAGCTACTTTATTCACAGTAGCAAATAAACGGAAACAACCTAAGTGCCCATCAACAGATGAATGGATAAGCAAATTGTGGTACATACGCACAATGGAATATTACATAACCATAAGGAACAATGATGAGTCTGCGAAACATATTATAACATGGACGGACCTGGAAGGCATAATGCTAAGTGAAATAAGTCAAACATATAAGGACAAATATTGTATGATCCTTCTTTTATAACAAAGACAAATAAACAGAGTAGCTAAATATAGAGAGACCAAGAATAGACAAAATACAGGGACCAAAGTTCATTGGTGGTTGGGAGGGGAGTACACTTCAGACTGTAGAGACTTGTTATTTTTGGTGATGGGAAAAGTGGCACCAAATGTGGATGTAGTGAGCATGGCACAACCAAAGTAAAAATGAGTGTTTCAGCACATATGGATGGGTACAGGCATATTGGCATACGGGTAAGTCGAGGTGTGTACATAGGTGAGAACAGAGAGAAGTATCTATAGAAACAAACAAACAAACCCCTTGCAGTCAAGTTGATTCCGACTCATAGCGACCCTACAGGACAGAGCAGAACTACCCCATAGAGTTTCCAAGGAGTGCCTGGTGGATTCCAACTAACAACCTTTTAGTTAGCAGCTGTAATA